ATTTTGAAATAGACTGTCTTCAAAATTGAAATGGACCGTCTTGAATTTTGTATTGGACCATCTTGAATTTTGAAGTGGACCGTCTTCCAGGAGGGCAAGACGCATCTGCCCCACGGCCGGATGCCCTTAGAACCCTAAGCGCCGGTGTCGGCGAGTATACGAGCCGGGTGGTCTTGAACCATCCTGGAGAGCTCTAATACTGCTTTTCCTCTGCTGGTAGAGAAACATACTTGACAATCTTGATATATACATAGCAATGGCAAGGAGGTTTGTAGAGCCATGCACACCATCAGTGCATTGCCCCACTGTCATTTCCCTCGTTGACATCGTCTTGGGCCTCTTCATGGTCAGTGTCCATGGGAGGCTGGTACTCCTTCAGACCCATGGGTCATGGGCCCAGAGAGTCTACCTTCTGGCTTGGACAGTCTCTGGCCCAATGACTGATGCCCTTGCACAAATGGCAAGTGTTGCTGCTTGATGTTGCAGGGCTTCCTTGCTTTGGGCCCTCAATGAACTGATGGGGCAGGAGGCGATTGGTTGGCCAGTTAAGGTTTCCCATAGTTGTTTGTGCTGGCAGTCAAGCTGGGTGAGTTTGTGCCAGTTGCCAAGCAGGGAATAAACCTTGAGCTGGTGGCATAGACCAGGTTCCTGGGTTTGGTCATGATGGAGTAGCACTTGGGTGCCTAGCAGAGGACTGCTGTAGCAGCATCCTCTGCCAGCCAATCTCTTCGACCTCTTGATACCATTCCCACCTTTTCATGGGTGGGTTCTGCTCGAACTTCTCTTGTAGACTACATGTGAGACTACCTCAGAATAGATCAATCACTAGCTCATTGTCATCTAGATTGACCTGTCCCTCCAAGTCTCTGAATTGCTCAACATGATGTGTGGCAGCACCAGGTGCATCACTCATGAGTTGGAGAGCCAACAGTTTGTTGTAGGCCTCCATCCTAGCATTCCAGGGATTGAACTGTTCTGACAGATGCTCTGTGAAGTAGTGCCAGTCATTGAACAGTCTCCCTTCTCAAGCTCTATCATTGTGAAGCTTTGATGTCCACCATTCATGTGCATTCCCTTCCAATTGAGCACCCATGTGATTGATCATCCTTGACTGCTCATAAACCTGGTTGAACTTGAACCAAGCTTTGGCTTCAAGGATGAAGATCTCAACATCTCTGGGATTGAACTTTGGGAATGGTGTGGCGATTGGCTTTGATCATGTTAGTTCTCCCATTATGCTAGCATCCTCCTCTTAATCCAGGCCATAAGGATCTATCCTGGGCCTGCTGTATGGGTCCACCCTGGGCTTGATGTATCTTGGCCTGGTGGGGGAGGTGTACTTCTTGTGAAGGAGCACAGGTATCGAAGATCTAGTCGATACCAGTAGAGAGCATGGTCGTAGTGCAGTCTCCATGGAGACCATGGACTCCTATGGACTCACATGCAAAGGAGAACTGAGCCACATGTGAGGAGGGCCAGGCACAGCCACGAGGAGGACCAAGCTCAAGGAGCAGGCACAGCCATGAAGAGGACCAAGCTCAGATGGTTACCACTCAGGGGCTCAAGAGACAAGAGTCATAGGACACTGGCAAGCAGATCATGAGGAAGAGGAGCAATGTCGAGGGAGCCGACACCAGGTCATGAGGAGGAGGAGCAGTGTCGAGGGAGTTGACACCAGGTCATGAGGAGGAGGAGCAGTGTCGAAGGAGTCGACACAGCTCAAGAGGCACAGGGGTGCCAAGCAGGAGAGGCCCCTGAGCAGTACTTGATGAAGAAGGTACTCTCTGGAGAGAGAGCAGGAGCAGCATTGCTGGTGATGCTGAGAGGAGGTATATAACCATGCTTTCTCATCATCATAGGTCGAGTGGATCCTCATCCACTCTACTCACCATAACTAGTTATCACTTCAGCATAAGTATATATTAGTTTCAGTCAGCATAGCAGCAATCCATCAAAGGTTGCTCCTCATCGTAGTGTGTGTGTTGTATCACCACTACCTGACGTCCGAAGGCGCCCATAGCAGGTTAGTGGTCCAGATCAAGATAGAACCGAAGGCAGTAGTCCACTGTGGTCCGGGGATCACTTCAAGCATCAAGTCAACACACTGGACACTCGTGTTGACACCACCAACCTTATCACCAACACCAGCAACCTCATTATCATCAACACCACCAATCTCATTACCAACACCATCAACCTCATCATCATCAACACTCACACCAGACCTTGGTGTCATCATAACATCGATATTGATCATGCCGAGCTACCCCTGAACGGAGTGTCCACAGAGGTCAGCCGAAACCTATGATAGTATATACAACGAACGCCACCTGCTGTCACTGCACAACTTGATAGTCACTGATACCGAGACAATAGCTGTCGCACAGTTTGATAGTCACCAAGTATCTCGACAGACCGACCTGGGTTTCAGGCGCGAGACCCCTGACAATCCCCTCCTGTCTGATCTTCTGAGTGGGAGAGCTTGATCATCTCCTCTCCACTCAGGTGAGCACAACAAAGTTGCTCCTCTCATTGACCCTGCCTGGTAAGCTCCAGTTGAGCTTCCATTAGGGAGAGTAGCCTCTCGAGCTTGTCATTGAGGCTTGAGTCCATCATGCTGATCGTGAGGTGCTGCTTGAACAATCCACTCTAATGTCAGTGGTTGCATGCCTGAAACCTGAGATCAGTAGTAGTGTCAATACTATTACTGATTCTGTTGAGTTATGCAACAACACTAGTGGTATTTCGATTCTTGGTGAAACATGTGATAGAGCCATCTCTATCACTTTTCCCACTCGAATCTGTAGTTGTAGTATTGCTATTACAGGTTTTGACTAACTGCTGTGGACACTCCATCCAGAGGTAGCTCAGCATGATCAATATCAATATGTGAGTATGGTAACACCAAGATCTGGTGTGAGTATCTTGTTGGTAATGTGATTGGTGGCATCAACACGAGTGTCCAGTGTGTTGACTATCGCTTGAGGTGATCCCCAGACTGCAGTGGACTACTGCCTTTGGTTCTATCTTTATCCAGACTGCTGGTTTGCTATGAACTGCCTTTGGATGTCAGTGAGCAGTGATACAACACACGTGCTACAAGGAGGAGCAATCTATCGATTACTACTATGCTGACTGAACTAATGAGTACTTATGCTTCTGAAGTAATACTAGTTATGGTGTGTAGAGTGGATGGGGATCCACTCAACCATTTGTGATGAGAAGGTATGTTTATATACCTCTTCACAGCATTGCCAGTGATGCTGCTCCAGCTCTCTCTCCAGAGAGTACCCTTGCTGCCAAATACTGTACAAGAGTCTCCACTGAGACTCCTCCTCCTCATTGAGCCTTGTTGCTCCTGCCCTTCCTGAGCTGTATCAACTCCATCGACACTGCTCCTCCTCCTCATGGCCTGTTCACTGGTGCCTGTCACACAGCTCCTCTTCCTTCAACCAGCAATGGTTCTCTTGTCTGCTTATCTCCTGAGCCCCTGAGTGGTAACTGTCTGCATGCTTCATGAGCTCAGTCCCTATCTTGGCAGTGCTCAATCCTCCTCACTTGCAAGCATAGTCCCTCCCACATGTGAAACCATCATATGAATGTCATTGTCACTGATCTCTGTGAAATCTGCCATACTGTTGTACTTACTGCAGATTCTGGTAGGATCTGTGAAATTGACTTTGTTTGGGCATATCCTGATGAGTTCTGTCATAGAACCATGTCTACTACTGATCTCACTGAATTCTTCTGTAAATCCACTGATCTACCCAATCCCTCAATTCCTGCACTACCTTCATATGAACTGTTGGGACTTCCTGCTTCCTGTGCAGTTAGGCCCATGACACATTCCTCCTTCTCTTTTGAGCTAAAGCTGCTTTGCTCTTGGCTGGCATGGGTGTATCAAGTGTATTGGAGATGGATGGATGTCTCGAGACTTCCTGAATGGTTTGGGCACACTAACAGGGTGTCAGTGGTCACATGCCTGGAACCCGAAATCTGTGTTAAAGGTTGATTAGGATTGGTCTTGGTGAAATCTCTTGTATGAGCTCCTTACAATTGTTTTCACTGGAATAGATTGTAACACTGCTTTCAGATGAGTTCTGACTAACCACTGTGAACACTCTGTCCAGTGGTAGTGCAGCATGATCAAAGCCCTAAGTGACTTGCTGAGACTATACCAGTGTATGATGCAGTGGTGTCTGTCTCAACACAAGTGTCCATAATGTTGATAGCCATACATTTGGGTTGGATGGATTATCCAGACCGCAGTGGAGTACTGCCTATGGATGGCATCAAGAAGCGGTGATATGAGACATGTGCTGTAGTAGAAGCAATGTCCTGCAATTGTCACTGTTGGACAAGACAACTAAGTATACAATATGGTAAAGATATAGCTAGTTATGTGTAGAGTGTCACTCACTTGGGTATACATTATGTTACCTGGATTGACTGTTGTAATAGACCCTGGCATACTGGTGACATAACATCTGGTGTAGTTTCCCTGTTATGCCTCAGCCTTATCATCCTCATGCCATACTTGTATACTTTGAGTGGTGAGATAGATATATACATTTGAATTGCTATGTACTTAGTTGATTTATTATCGCAAAAAAAAAACTTAACTTCGGATGTCGGAAATGACAAAGGAGAATTTTTTGGAGGAAGCAGAGCGTGAGGGTGAATTTTTTGGAGAAAAGGAGAAAAGAGAAAAGGAGAAAAGAGAAAAAGAGAAAAGAGAAAAAGAGAAAAAAAATGAAAAAAAATGAAAAAGAGAAAAAGAGAAAAAGAGAAAAAGAGAAAAAGAGAAAAAGAGAAAAAGAGAAAAAGAGAAAAAGAGAAAAAGAGAAAAGTCTTCTCGCCGTGTCTTGGACTAGCTTGCTCATCGATCCATACCTGCCAGCTGCGTCGCAGTATAGCCATCCGAACAACTCTTTCGTTCGGCAAAGCAGCAACGTCGTCTTTCCCTCTCGGATCTATCGCACCACCTCGCTCGCTCGATCATGGTCCAGAAAGGCAAAGGAAAAGGCAAGGGCAAGGGCAAGGGCAAGGGCAAGGGCAAGGGCAAAGGCCCCGAGCTGACCTTCGACGAAAAGGCTCGAGCCGAATACCTTACTGGATTCCGCAAACGTAAGCAAGAACGCAAACAGGCGGGACGAGAGTACCTCGCCAAGAAGGCGAAAGAGGAGCAGCTTATCGCTCGTAAAGAGCTGCGCGAGGCACGCAAGGAGAAGGCAGCAGAGAACGTTCGCGAGCAACGAAAGGCGTATGGTCTCGAAGCCGAGGGTGAATCCGATCTTGACGTCGCTGGCAACTCCGACGACGAGAACATCGACGGCCAAGATGCTGTGCCGCAGATCCAGGAAGAGGAGTACGACTCGGATGAGCACCACACGCACGTCCTTGTCCAATCGTTCGATCCTGAGCAAGAGGCTTTCGAGAAGGCGACTGCCGTCGCAGCATCGTTGCCTGCGAGAAAGCCGAAAGCGAATGGAGCGTCTTCAACTGCCGCCCCTTCCTCTTCCACCGCCACCGCCACCACCAGTGTCGAGGCTCTCCCTCCTTCGTCCCGCCGTGTCAACAAAGCCAAAGCCAATGCGAGTCTCTCTTCTTCCTCCCCTCTGCCTTCGACTTCTGCCGCATCCTTCTTTTGCGAGCACTCTGTCCCCGCGCCATCCATTCACGTTGCAATGAACGCCAAACTGACTCTATCTCCTTTCTTGTCCACTATCTCCGCTCTTCTTGCAACTGCAGGCCAAGGCCAAGAAACGAGTGATGCACACCAAGAAGAAGATGTCTCGAAGAAAAGACTCCACATCTCGGGGCTCACAGCCGCGTTCTCGCAAGAGGACCTAATCCGTCGCTTCTCCACTTTTGGCACTGTTGTCAGCCTTGACGGTCTCGGCAAGCGCGATGCCCTTGGAGAGTTGCGCCCATACGCATATCTAACGCTTCAAGCACCACCGCAGCAGATCAAACGATGCATCAACTTGTTGTCAGGATCAGTGTGGAAGGGTGCGACGTTGCGCATCGGCGAAGCCAAAGCCGACTACCAACAACGCATCCATCTCGAGCAACAGAAGCGAAAACAAGAAGAGCAAGAGAAGGCGAATAAGCCCCGCAAGCACAACAGCTTACCGCCAGGGATGGGCGTCGAGAGCTACAACATGAAGCCAGTCGATCAAGAGGCGGTAGAGAAGGGCCTAGCGTGGGGCTGGAAACGTACGCCCGCAGGACATCTCGTTCGTCCGCTGCGTATGCGACCATCTCACCCTCTGCCACGACCGTCCCGCGCATCTACACTAGCACGAGTCAATGCATCCGCAGAAGAGGGCGAGGAGGATCAAGAGGAAGCAACATCCAGCAGACGCACGCGCGTCAATCCTCGTCCACCGACTAAAGCACATCGCATCACCATCGATCCAACACGATATGGTGTCATCCATCTCTCTGGTCCGCTGCTCGAGTCGTTAGCTGCAGAGACAAGCACGGATTCCTTCGATGTTTCATCGCTGGGCGAAGGAGAGTGGCACTGCGAGGAGATCGAGGACGAACAAGGCGAAATAGGATCGGCAGAGAGGACGGATCGTCTGGTTCGATGGCAGTACGTGGCCAAGGATGGTGTCGTGTTGCACGAGGAGTTTACCAAGCTTCCGATTCGAGTTGTTCCTGTTCAGCAAGCATCCGCATCATCAGCAGCGGACAACATCGGCAACGGCGTCGAAGATGTCATGGCAGAATTGAACTTTGATCAGTACTCGGACGCAGGCAGTGACGACGATCTGTTCTCTGGTTTCCCGTCCTCGCTGACCCCAGCAAAGCCACAAGCAGAGCCGAAGAAGGCCGTCGCTCCAAAACCTGTACCAGCCTCTGCTCCTGCCGAAGACGAGGTTGAGACAGCTGATATCGATGACCTCTTTGCCGGTATCTCCAACTGCTCCGTTCCCGAGACGAATGTCAAGGATCTGTTCCTGGATCTGCCTTCAACACCTGCACCTGCTCCGCCTGCTCCACCTGCTGCAACTGCTCCACCAGCAAAGCGCGCGAAAGTCGACAAGCCAGCTCCCGTTGCTACACCGACATTGTCGAAAAAGAACAAAGGCACTTTTCTTCCTGGTCTGGATCCAGAGGAAGACGAATTTTCGGATGGGTACGACGAGGCTGCTGCTGTAGGGCCGACGCGCGATATCAAGCAGGTGGTAGATGCGGCAGAGGAGAGGAGCAAGACATTGGCGCTGCTGGGCGCAATGTTTGGGGATGGGTCTGATGATGAGGCGCCTGCGGACAACGGTCTCGCCGAGATTGCTGTTGACGAGGAAGAGGATAGTGACCATGACTCGAGCTCTGACTCGAGTTCGGCGTCTGACTCTGACTCGGAGCCAGTAGACGGTGAGGCTGAGGAAGCAGTGAAGGCTAGCTCCTCGTTGAGCTCCAGCTCCTGCTCAGACTCTAGTTCGAAATCGGATGGAGCAGAGTCTAGCGACGACGCAGAGTCGACTGCTGAAGCCGAGGAGGCATTGCAGCCAGTCGTGGCTGGAGAATCGGAAGCTGTCGTCGAGGACGAAGATGTGGACATGGTCGAGGCACCTGAGCCAGTCAGTGAAGTTGTCGCTTCTGCTCCGACTGATGCCAGATCTCGACGAGCTGCTTTGCTATCTTCGCTGTCCCACCCGAATTCTGGATCCAAGGCTCAAGACAACAGCTATGTCCCCATCGCACGATTCGATCCCGGTACTCTCGCCTCAGCTACGTCGGCCCAATCCGAGCCTGCTCCCGCCGAGCCATCAGCACCAACAGCGACTGCTGCGCCTCAAGCTACTGTCAACTCCACACCAGCAGCTTCTGCAGAAGAAGCGCAGGGAAGCAAGGTCTCGATGTCGACACTGAAAGAAATGTTCAAGCCGCAAGACCGACATTCGAGTTGGGATGTCACGACTGGGTTCAGTCTTGGACTCGGCGCTGCTGATGGCGAAGCTGCAGGTGGAGACAGTGGTGGAGGCTTCTCGCTGATGGATTCGCTAGGACTCGAGTTCGAGCTGGAAGAGGAAGAACCTGGACCCGAGCGCGCAGACCTCTCCGCTCAGGCACTTGCGGCTATGGGCGCTTCTCGCTGGCAGCAACACTCTACGCCCACCACGCAAGCCCAACCCGAAGTGCAACAGCGTAAGCTCAGACCATTCTTCCCTTGGTCCAGCGGCAGCTCGTCTTGGAACAGTAGTGATAGTCAAGGTTCGGTGCAGCGATGGTTGAAGCCAAGGTCGGAGGAAGAGAAGGAGAAGCACTGGGCCAAGTACAAGAAAGAGCTGACCAAGGTGATCAGGAAGCGTCATAGGGAGGCGGCGAGGAAGCATAAGCGTAACTTCAAAAGTATGCCGCAGGCGAACAAGAGAGCATAGGGTGCGGGAGCTGTTGGAGCCGTTAGCAGAGCTTAGTGTTAGACAGCGATGGACCTAATCTAATGCAAGGCATCATGAAACATTATCCAATCCGTCTGCCTGTGAGAACTGAGTCTTGTGTCAGACGAACAAGATGGGCAAGTAAAACAGAGTGGAGAAGTGGATGGGGAAAAGTGGATGGGGAAAAGTGGATGGGGAGATGCGAATGGTATTAGCGTGAATGTGCATGAAGAGTGGAAAAAATACAATGGGATGGAAGGAAAGCGAAGAGGTGATGGTAGGATATGGCGTCACGACTCTAATGAGATTCTTCGACGATCCTCGAGACGAGCTGCTATTGATCGAGTCTTTTGAGATGAGCAAGGTCTTGCAACACGATTGCTTGAACAGATCCGGTCCGTCCGAGCATCATGGAGACCGTCACTTGTTCTATGGTCTAGATCTGTCGCTTGCGCTGCAACTGGAGCTTCTGTCGACGGTAGTCGCCACGAGCTGCGAACAGAGAACCGGAAGGTGCTTGGCGGCGCTTCATGCGGCAAGCAGTGAGCTTTGCGGTGTGTGCCTTGTGACTCTGGTTGGACGCAGACGAGTTGGCACCAGACGACGAGCCGGAGTTGGCGGGAGCACTACTACCGCTGTCACTGGCAGCGGTGCCCGTCGGAGCGCTTGAGGACGAGTTGCGGGAAGGCAAACTGGACGAGGTGCTGGGAGCTGTGCTGCCATCGCTGCTCTTACCGCCAAAATCAAGATCGACGCACTGGTAGAAGGCATTGGCCGTGTTGTCGATGGTCCAAACGGCGTAGACGACGTGGTAACCCGAACGCGAAGGCAAGTTTTTCTGCAAGTCGTGCTTCATGGTGACGGGAGGAGACTTGCCGTTCATGGGGATGGTGAGGAAAGGAGTCGACTCAAAGTCGCTAGCGGTCAATCCTTGGGTCTTGGTGGCATCCCAGTTGGCTTTGGTGATAAAGTACTTGAAGTCGGTGGTGGAGTGTTGAGCGGTGAACTTCCAAGTGAAGGAATGGACGTCGCTGGCTTTGCTAGTCGGCCAGACTTTAGCACCCTGACGATCGAGCTCAGAGAACTGACTCAGACCGGCTGAGCAGAGATGAGCATCACCGTTGCGGTTGAAGGGGAGACCTTTGGGAGCTTCGACGGATTGAGGTTCGTACTGGATTGCACCACAGTCCTTGGCGGTGCCTTGGCTGCAAGCGTAGGAGCGCGAGGCAGGAGCCATGACGTAGCCGTGAGCATCTACGAGGCCAATGAAAAGGTGACAAAGGGTCGCGACCAGCGCGACGAGCTGGAAGAAGGAGAGAGACCAAGATAGGTTGCCGAATGCCATGTTTGCGATTGGTATCTAGGAGACCGAGGCCGTGTCGCCGTCCGAGGCAAGGTTAGGGTGAGGGTCTAGGCAAGTCGGAGGGAGAGATTGAGATGATGGAGGCAGAGAAGCAACGACGAAGAGGAGACAAGTGATGGAAAACAGGCCAGCCTGCGAGTGTCGAGTCAAGTTATAGAGAGAGAGAGAGATAGGGAGAGAGAGGGAGGGAGAGGGAGAGAGGAAGAGGGAGAAAGGGAGAGAGGGAGCGGATGGAAACCGAAGGTGAGCTGCAGGTTCGGAAGAGCCGCGTTCTAAACTCTGCCGACTTGAGTGCCTTTATACAGTCACTTGACTTGGCGTTCATCACTCTTCTGCGCTGTTTTACAGTCAGACATCGGAAGGCCCGTACAGCGAACGAACGAGACAGCAGGCAGCAGGCAGCAGGCGGCAGACGACAGACGGCAGACGGCAAGCGGCTGTTCCGTCTGCTGCTGAGGGAGGACTGTGACGGCCAAGAGAGGATTCGGCGTCGCCGATGATGCTGACAGCGGACAGCAAGACTGGTCAAACAGGCAGCGAGGAGGGATGGCTTCAAGCTCGGATAGGCCGACTGTGCTGAGTTATTACAGAGGTGAGCGCTGGCAGCGCTACACTTTGGGATCCATCGGCCAGGCTCCTGACCGAACTCTAATCTCGTCATTCGATCTCGTCACAATCCTTTGTGTCGCTGTCACCGGCGAAGGCGAGGATGTGCAAACCTTGCCTGTTCTCACTCTATGATCACCACGCTCATTCTGATGTGACTGCCAAGGCGGAGGAGGGATAGATGTCAACCTCTCCGCTGGCTCCTCGGCAAAGGAGAGCTTGGCTGTCTGTCCATGTGACAGCTGCAAAATGAATCGCAAACCAATTTGACAGGCAGAGAGAGAGAGAGAGAGAGACCCTTTGTTCGCGTGAAGCAAGAAAGGCGCGCTCGGCTCTGCCTGTCGTGTTGGAAAGCTTTGACAGCTCTGCAGCACTTCATCAGAGAGCCGCCAGTTCCCACGCTTCCGGCATGCTTTGTCTTTGTTTTTTCACTCGTCACAACGCATAAAACCATTCACTTTCCTCCTGATCGGCTCCCAGCCGATAGCTGATGTGAGCAACAGTGTGATCTGTGAGAGTGGCGCCGATAACTTATATGCTCTGTAGAATCACAGACGCATTTCGAACGTCGTTGCGAAAGAGCTCAGTCGACCTGACACGCCAGTGGCAAAACAAGGCCGAGCAGCCACCCCGATTGACTCAGCCTCGAGACATTCACCGTCCCAGCAACGCTCAACAACAACGACGACGACGACGACGATGAGAAGGCACCATCACAGCGATCCCCTTAATGCCTCACAGATAACCTGACGAGATGACGGCAACAAACTCGGATTCAAGCTTCGACAATGTTGGCCAAGTACTGTTTGCGACGAGATTGGATCAAGCTCCGGCCTTTGTAGCTACCTTACGATGCGATCGAGAGAAGATGGTGCCCACGATACGAGTTACGAACGATGCTTACTTGTTGCCTGCTAGTGCAACGGTCTTGTCGGTCTTGCATTCTTCGGCAGCCTTGTCCGCGGCTCTGGACGACTCCATCCCCGCTGATCAAGTCTAAGCTGCAGTACGGGTGGCCATACCGAGTCCGTTCTTGAACGGCATGGCCACGATATACCATCCTTTGGACTCGAGGTACTCCTTCAACTTGGCATAGGTACCAATCGAGACTCCGGTGAGCCAGTTGTCGATGAAGATGACAGCATCTTGCTTGAGTGCAGACTCGAGCAGTTTGAACGTCGGCAGCGCCACTACAGCATCAAAAGGCAAGATAGGAGATGAGTGTCAAAGCGAATCGACATCAGCAAAGAAGCGAAGAGGTCGCTATACTCACTCTCGGCCCAAATGTCAAACAGCACAGCGTCGAGGCTGTCCTTCTCAATCTTGGCCTTCTCCGTCAGCTCAAGGATGTCGCCTCTCAGCATCCTGAACCCTGGAATCTCCTTTGTACCTTTAGGCAGCTTCAAAGCCTGAGCCAAGTTCTCAGTCGCAGCGTCAGCCTTGTGCTCCTCCTTCTCCGTACCCCACACCATCGCCGGCAGCCCATCTTTGCTGTTTGTCTTCGCATCTGCAGCTTGAGACACGAGCAACAAGTAGATCGTCGACACGCCATACGATGTTCCGGCCTCAAAGATCCTCCTCGCGTTCTTGTTGCGCAGCACAGCATAGATGAGCTCCGACTTGTCTTGCTCCAGAGCGATCATCTTTTCTTTGTACATGCTAAAGTCACGCTTCTGGATGTTCTGGTTGTTGAGCGAGTTGATACCTGTGCCTTGTGCATCTTGCTCCTCCGAAAGCTCGTGGAGCTTGGTTACCAGCTGGGCTGCCTCGGGATGCTCCCGGTACAGGATGGTCTCTTTGTAGTTGATCGACGACATGATCGGAAGGGTGCCAATAGGCGAGAGTGGTGCAAGGTGGAGCGAGACCATATCCCTCCAGTCGAGAACAGCCGACTTTATCACTGCGCTCGGCCACCGTCTCGAGTCGCACTGACCATGCAGGGTCCAAGGGTGGATCAACGTGCGGTGACAATGGCACAACTTTCTTCCGGAGCTAAGCAACTCTTTCTCGACTGACATCCGCTATTTCCAGCCCAGCTCTCTGATGTTCAAGCGATCAACAGGCCAGTCGCATTGCTTTTCAAGGCGGCTTCTTCGGTACTACAAACGGCGTCCTCCTCACACCCGTCGTGCTCTATCTTCCGCAATGCTTCGACAAGCGCAGAGGCTTGGCGACGAGCGTCATCTTTATGGGCTCTGGTGTCGGAGGCGTCGTCTTTCCTCTTGTCTTCAACGCACTTCTCACCTCGGTCGGGTTTGCTTGGACTATGCGAGCTTGGTCGCTGACCCAAATCGTGCTGAGCGGTAACAGCGCTCTACTTTGTCCAGCGTACAATACCAACGCCATCACCCAAAGCTTTGCCATCGTCCAAGAGGGAGCTCATTTGCATTCTGCTTCCAGGAAACCTCAGACCTCTACTCAGCCCGATAGCGCTCATCTACATAGGTCACTTCTCTCGGCCCTGCTCTATGCTCTCACGGCGCAATCTCAGCTGAGATGTTGACCTGATGTGTGTCTAACAACTCCTGGTCGTCGCTCTCCCAGCATTTGACTGGTACATTGTTTCACTCTACATGGCGATCTACGCCACTACGCTCGGCTTCAACTCGACACTCTCCACCGGCATCCTTTGCCCTTGTCTCAACCTGGCATGGCTAGTGTAAACTTGGACCGCGGTCACATTCTGCTGCAAGTGCCAAAGCAAAGCCGGTTGGTTTGTGGTTGTAGTTCTGTTCCGGTTTGTGCACTCCCACTGTCGTCGCTGTTCCCCGTGATGGTGGCCTTATGTGGGCAGCAGCCCTGGCTTTCCTTGCTCTTGTCTCTTCAAACAATCAGCATCACTCAAATGTAGTGGGAGAGCACCTTTTTCCCAAAGCAGAGACGAGACAAGGAAGCCTAACCCACGCATTACTGCCAATACGTCTATCCATCCTGCTTCCATCTCAATGCAATGCCCAACTCGCTTACTAATGCATTCGCATCCCTGCATCCAACGGGAACCTGCTCGTCGCTGGTTGAAAATCAACATAGTTATCCTCGAAATGCGCATCACGCCTGACCACGGCTTCGACAATGAATCTCGCCTTTAGCGCTGCTCGACCATCTACCTCTGGCTCTTTTGTTTTCTGAGGGTATAATGTACGGGCAGCACGTTCAGAAAGCACACCAAAAGCAGAGATGACATTTTCATAGGCCGTATAGGCCCCTGCAGCCGAGAAAAGCGTGTTTGGACCACCGCCAGCTTTCACCGCAGGCGAAGGAGTGGGCAAAGGACGAATTGAGTCTCTATCGTCTCCTCTAGCGGCGGATTTGCGAGCTCTAGCACGCGCACGAGCGGTTTTAGGCTGCACAGAATCCGCAACACGAGTCATTTTGGCCATCATTCCATGCTCTTGTGCTTCAGTATGCGATAAAGCTGTAACCGCTGCCGTTTGGGAAGCTTCAGTGAGTAGATAAGCTTCGAGTTCTGCCTCTGCTTCAGCAACTGCTGCACGGGCGATCCGTTTTTCTTCTTTGGATGGCAGGCAGACGATGGCGGATGGATCCATGCCGTTGAGCGTGTCTTTCTTGGGCCGGAGTGGGGTCGAGTTGCTGTGGCTGTCCGGTAGACCGTCGAGAGTGGACTTGAGTAGACGAGGTTTGGACTGAGCTGACATTTCCATCTCGATCTCGTCCTGGAAGAGAGGAGCTGACTCGGTGGGATCGACTGCTGCGACTGCAATGGATGCGGCATCAGGGGTGTCTGTGTCGATACTGACGAGTGGTGGCGGTATTGATGTTTGCTGATCTGCAATGTCGAATCGATATAGGCCAGCCGAGCCTGTCTCGAGTAGGTGTGCTTTTGTCTCTGGATCGATGTCTGCGGTGAGGATGTATGGGTTGAGTGTATCAACTGCTTCGGTCGGAGCTAGGGCGCGGAGGCTGAAATCGGACCCTATTATTGCTAGGCGTGATGCAGACTGAGTTTGTTGCGTTGCTGGACGACCATTCGTCTCTCCGGCTGCTACTTTCTCCAGAGCGAGCACGCGCTGAACGTGACAGTTGGCACCCACCTCCACCGCCATCAAAGACAGCAGCTTGAGGGAATCCTTGATCGAGTCAGGGTCCAGACCTATCAAAGTTCCGTCATCGAGAACACCAATCTCGTAGACTGCCAAACCTGCGCCTTCAAGCAACCTCCACTTGAGCTGGGTGACAAGTCGGTCAAAACGCTCTCTGCTGGGAGGTAAGATCTTGAGCTTGTATTCAAGATTGCCCTTCTGATCGACTTCGGGTGGGATAGGGCCAAAGGCGGAAGGTGGCGAGGCGCCGTTGTGAGTATCGCCAATTGTGGTGTTGGCGGTTGTGTTGCCGTCAATGTTGCTGAGACCGTCAAGTAGTGGTGATTTGCGCGATCTAGAAGCCATGGTCGGATGGAGCCCTACATTCTGCAATGGCGATGAGGAGTAGGAGACTGTCTCGGAAACTCGGCTGAAAGCAGGATGGAGTCGTGGCGAGCCTGTAGAGTGACGACTGTTGCGCTGCGGAGAAGGATGGAAGCGTTCGCTCGGCGATCCCTTCGCCGAGCGAGGTTGATGAGTTGATGGTATTGACTCATGATCTTGGAGCTGCTGATCGATGCTGACGTCCATGTCTAGCGAGAAAAAGCCGTCTGCCTCATCGCTGATGTCGGAGAGTGCATCGTCACACGACATGTTGAGCAAGTGGAGGTCTGGTAGCTGATGGTCAGCCGCGTGGAGATGCTTGTCGTTGTCAGATTCGTCCATCAGCGTATCACTAGAGGGAGGAGTGGTAGGCGCCGTAGTAGATGCGCTGGTGGACGCAAAAGTGGAGAGTCGACCTGACCAAGACGAAGCTAACCTAGGCGATCTTGATATCTGTTCGCCAAACATGGCGGTATGCGCGGTGAGGATGGAAGGAGTGTGTTGCAGCAGGGTAAGCAAGTTACAGGTGACGAAGAGAGCGTGATATCCTGTCGACCATACTGCTATATGCCCCGAGACGTTGAGTTGGAAGCTAGATCGAGACCCGCGCTGCGATGATGGTTTCGACGACGTGGTGGTGGTGGCGACGACGTGGTGGCGACGACGTGGTGGCGATGATGATGAGTCAGGAAAGCTGAGTTCTGTCCTGTCGGATGTGATGCCGACAATGTGAGTGATGGCGATCGTGATAATAGCCAAGAGTATCGGAAGGGCCGAAGGCGGGAGTTATGGGGGGGCAAGAGGCCAAGAAAAGGGTCCTTTCGGGGTGAACTAATCGGGTGATCCGTCGAGTGAATCAGCCGATCGGAATGGCCGTGTCTGTGTGATGTGATTTCCAAAAGTGGACGTTGAATTTGCCTCGCTCAGATCAGCCTGCAAAGTGTGCGCGCACTTTCGATTGGATTGCGCCTTCTCTGGAACTGCGTTATCGGCTTGGCCGTCCTTGCCTCCACCTCACTTTGCACAGTCACCGCTTCTATCTTGTGACCATCACATCCCACCCTATTCAGCTTGTCGGATATTCCGCTCCTTTCTCCTCGTCGCCACCGTCGCCACCGTCGCCATCGTCGCCATCGTCGTTGCTGCGCTCCATCATCTCAAGACGGACACTCGGTAGCTTAGCTCAATCCCCCTCTTCGTGTCGACGCGTCAAAGTTCTGCTTCAAGATGGTAGGTTGCATTGCCTCCATCCCCTCGCTGTCGCTTTCTCAGCTCCTCTGACAACCATCTCTTTTTCTTTTTCGTTGCGACAACAGGCACGACCCTCGGCATCGACGCCGCACCTCGTTTGGGCGGCAGGTCACTTTCTCTGCTTCTTTGCCGGTCTCCGCTATCTTGCGGGAACGCTCATGTTTGCAACCTCGGGCGGTGGTCTTTCGCGATGGTACACGGCAGCCTATGTTGGTGCCATCATCTCGTACTGCGTTGTCGTCTACAAGTCCTTCGGTGTTCCTCAGCTCAACAAAGCCTACATCCAACGAGCCTTGATGGATGAAAACGTCCAATACCTCTTCCTTGCGGTATACTGGTTCATGTCGAAATCCATCTTTATCACTCTGGTTCCCTTTGTCACTTTCTCCCTCTTCCACGTTCTCACTTTCCTTCGAACTACGCTGGTCCCCATCGTTTTCCCCTCTGCTTCACCCGCACCCGCAACCAACCAAGCAGCTGGAGGAGATGCAACTGCATCCCAATCCTCCGCTCCACCGGCCAAAATCGCTAAATTCATCCAAGCTTGGGTTAAGGCGAACTACGATCCTGCTATGCGGTTCGTAGCTTATGCTGAAGTGGCTATCTTTGGACGAGTTTTGTTTGGAGCGTTTTTGTTGAGGAACTCGTTGATGGCACCTTTGTTCTATGCTCACTTTTTGCGTCTTAGGTTCTATATGAGCTCTTTTACCAGAGCCGCTTTCCAGCATGTTAAGAGTATATTGGATGCTTATACTCAGCATCAGAGCTGTCCACCGGTGGTAAGAAAGGCTTATTTGACTTTGTCCGATTTGATCTCTAGATATGCTAGTTCCGTCTTGTCCGTGCAGAACGCTGGGGCGGGTCAGCATGCTGCTGCTGGTGCAGGAGGTGCCGCTGGTGCTGGTCAGCCAGCAGCGGCAGCGCAAAGGAGGTAAACAGTCAGAACATCGCTTCACTACCAACCTCGCTTTCACTCCACCCCTTCAACACCATTTAGTTCATCCACCCATCTTCTTTCATTCCACCACCATCATCATCATCATCATCATCATCAATTGTCCATAGTCCCATTGCTCATTGCTTCCTGCTTTGTAGGCTACAAAACTTGTCCTTTCTGCCGCCCTTTTTCGCTCCAAGTCGCTCAGAAAAGATTGCACAGAACATAGCTACTCGTTTGTCAGGACTGCTTGGTGAGCAACGAAAAGGGACAGTGATGCAGTTGGTTGTTTGGTGGATAAGCAAGGTTGAGTTCGAGTAAGGTAGGCATCGCCCGCCTTGGTTACATCATGAGTTGCCTTTGGGTGCGCGTTACGATTGCTGTGCATTCCAAGCCTCATTGATAGCATGAAAAGCAGCGCTGGCGATCATTTTCTGCTCCGTGCTTGCAGCTTTACTAATCTTATCCGGATGCAGCCTAGCAATGGCCTTTGTGTAGTTCTTCTTCAATCCATTCTGATCCAACACCTGGTGAAGAGCGATAGCCTTCCATCCGAGTTCAGGCCAGACGATGGTATCCAGTGATGAGAGCAGCGCACGGAGGTTGGTCTCTTTACCACGCTTCCAGTTGTCAATCTTAGCGTCGACGGAATCTTTGAGTGCGAACTTGTCCGACTCTTCTTGTGCCTGCTTCTGCTGTTGATTGGCAAACACTGCACTGGCCTTCTCGTCGCCGGTGCCGAAAACAGCGGTGTGTTTTGCTGGACCTGCTTTGTTGGCAGGCGGTCCGGTCGAGGATACAGCAGGACCAACAACTTTCTCGCCCAGCATCTTTCCGCACCGGTGCAAACCTTCTCTAGCAAACTTCATGTTGCTCGTCGCAGTCTTGACACCTGAACCTTCTGCTTTTTCAAACTCGAGCAAAACTTCCCAATCGGCCTTGGCCAGTTTCCATCTCTCGCTCGCCTCTAGTGCCTGGGCACGTCGAACGAGCGCCTTTCCGTACGTTTCGCGCAGGTTGATATTGGCTAGTTCGGCTGGCAGAGAAGCTTCTTGACTTGCACGGTAGACTGCGACGCGGCCGTTCGAGTCGCGTTGAGAACCGCCAAAGAGGGAAAGCACAATGGACAGCAGTTGATCACAGTCAGCAATGGTACCCGATGCGTCACCATTCTTGAGTCGGACATTGGCACGGTTGCTGAGCAGAGGCACAAGTCGGATCGAGTCGGAAGAGGATGAAGACTCGAGTGCAGAGATAGCACGGGTGTAGCTAGCTTCAGCATCGCCGTACGCACCACGACGGAAGTGCTCGTTGCCTTCTTCTTTGTTGCCGTTGGCAGACGAGATGGAGTGGGATGCATCGAATGGAATGGGACGTCGCTTGAGGGGAGCTTTGGGAGGGATGGGTGATGGTGCGGCGGATCGAGCTGGACCACGTCGGTTGCGTGAAGCGTAAGGAGCTTTGGCAGTAGCGGCGGATGGAGCAGAGGCATTGGATCGAGCAGGGACATTTGGTGGAACTTGCGATGGGGTCTGCTGTCGAGAGATGTTGCTGGCTTGCTCATCAGCTCTACCACCGAAGAGTGCGCTGGCAGCAGAAGACATTGCGGCGGCAACACCCGCTGCCGGGGCTGCAGGTCGACGAGGAGTTCTGGTGGGTGGCTCGGGAGCTTGCTGTGCTGCATCGTCATTCTCGTTGTCAGAATCCTTAAAGCCGCCACGGTCGCCATTGTTGCTAGCACGAGCATCATTAGAAGAGGAAAGGTTGGCAGCAGCTTCGTTAGCCTCGGCATTCTCTGCATCAATCATCCATTTGGGCTTGCCCTCCCATTGCTTGTTGCGAGATGCAGCAGCTGCAGCACCCCACCTACGATTGCGATGACGCTCGCTGCCTGCGTCAGAGGGAGTAGTGCTGCGTTCGGCGGCTGCACGATTTCGCTCTTCCAGCGCTTTCTGCGCCTGAGCCTTTGCAGTAGACCAAAAAGCACTGGCCTTGTTGAGAACGGAAGTGCCAATCTCGGAGGCTTGTGCGTAGATCTGATCTGCCTGCTGTTGCCAGTCAGCTGCAGCTTCGCCATCTGCGTTAGCTGCTGATGGGCCGTGGCGGTGGCGGCCTTGTTGTCGAGCCTCATTGCGACGCTGTTCTGGTTGCTGAGGATGGCGTCGTTGCTGCTGCTGCTGGTCTGCTGATCTGCCGAAGCCCTCGTTCTCTTCGTCGTCCGAATGACGGAAACCGCGAGACTGCGATTGTGCTCGCCTTGCTTCACACGCTTGAAGCTTGCGAGCCAGACGCTCATCATCGTCGTGCACCTGATGGGATGCTTGAGCAGCACCGCCGACAAGGAGTTCGAGAGCTGCTTCTACATTGAGACCAGTATCGGTCTGTGCAAGCGCACGCTTAGCTTCCTGAGGCGAGAAGCCCATTTCGACAATCTGACCGATGATGTGAGGTGGTGGAGATGCGGTGCGTGCCGGAGCGGAGCGTCCGCCGGCAGTCGGACGGCTGCCACTAGCAGGTGAAGCGACTCTTGAGCTGCCAGCTGACGAGGTGGAAGCAGAGCGAGACAGAGCAACAACACGAGGATCTTGGGCAGAGAGAGAAGACTTTAGCCTGTCCGAGACGGGCATAGCAAGAGCACCGAGAATGTCGTCTGCAGGGTCGTCGTGATCGGCATGAAGGGCTACCTTGGGCGCCGAGAATGGTTGATCGAAGCTGTCAAAGTCGAAGGGGTCGTTGCTGGGTGTTGCTCTCGCCTGGGTTTGAGGAGCGAGAGTTGGTTTGGTTGCAATGGTTGTGGAGTTGGCAGGGACTGAGGAGGAGAAAGTATCAAAGTCCCAAAGATCGTTGGCTGGAGCAGCAGGTTTGGAAGCTAGCTTGGCAGCATTCGAGCTGGTAGGAAGGATGGGTGCGGGAGAGTTGAGACGGTGCTGGGCTGCAGCCGCCGGTGGCTTTCCTACTGTAGTGCTGTTCGATCCAGCGCCACTGCTTGCGCCAGTAAAAGCGGAAGATTGAATGCCAGACCAAAGAGCATCGTTGCGACGCTTATCCTCGTCTGCTTCCTTGAGCGATTGTTCTCGGGCGAGCCTTTGACGTTCGGCAAGACTCAAGTTGGCTTGCTGCTTTGCACTTGATGATGAGGAGAAGAGGGAAGCGAAAGCATCGTTGCTAGGAGTCGAGGAGGATTTGGATGCGGAGGTGTTGTTGTGTGCGAGCGATGCGGATGGAGAAGGAGTAGCAAAGGAAGAGCCATAGTAGTTGGGTTTGGATGAGCTCGAGTCGAAAGCGGAAGTATTGGTTGCGAATTGAGATGATGTTGAGGCTGATGATGTTGAGGCTGATGATCTTAAGACTGATGATCTTAAGACTGATGGTGTTAAGGCTGATGATGATGATGACGAGGGCGTAGACGTAGGCTCTGCTGAATTGCCTGGCTTGTTGGATTTGGCAGCGTTGGCTGAGTTGGGTTGCCAACTCAAGCCGAGCAGATCGTCCATCACGATCGGTGGGCGCTGTGATGGCGTAAAGGGGAGGAGCAGAGCAGATTATCGAATTGTGATGGAAAGGGAAATAGCCAACGATATCAGTAATGCTCTTCGGAAGAGCCGATGCTGACCAAGTGTGTCTGTGCGTGTGTCCAAGACCAAAGGAACACTTTTGTCCCATGAATCGCCCCACGATATTTTGCTTTTGCTCCAAGGCTTGCCGGCCGATAGAGACGAAACAGCTGCAACCCACAATCCTAGCTTGCTGCTTCCAATCACCAATCAACGCAGTCGGCCCCGATCCGATGGTCACGAGGCTCGTTCAAAGTGGCGTCGAAATGATCACAAACGCTCATCGGATGCTCCGTAGACCGCATGGCAGCCCGCGTGAAAGAGAGAGAGAGAGAGAGAGAGAGAGAGATGAGTGCAGTCGTCAGGTTGAACGTCCTGCAACAGCATGATCTGAGGTAGAAGACAGCGTATACGATGCAAGCAGGGTTCAGTCAAGTGTTTTTGTAGAAAGAAGCCATAAAGGGTCCGATGTCTGAGTGAAGAGGGAAAGAGGGAAAGAGGGAAAGAGAAGCGCAGAAGAGGTCTGTCTGTCTCAGTCAAGATGCGCAGTTGCTTCGATCTTGCTGCCGTCCCTTTTCTCTTGGACACAAACACACTGGAGAACTGCGTGAAAATGAAAAGAATGCGGATGCATTTTTTAGGTTTTAGCGCCGCGCAGAATCGAGTGAAAGAACAGGGTCGAAGTCAAGGGGGCGCGCGCTCATGACCCTTACTCCATCACAAACGGAGCACCCGACTATTCTCTCGATAACCTTTACGTGGCTGTGATGGTCACAATCACAATTCGAAGCCACATGTGATCATTGGGGAGAAGAGATAACCAAGCATTGAAACCTGTCGGAGGAGCCGTAGAGATGAGTCAAGTGCCTTTAAGCAGACGGAGAGTGTTGGCTAGTATTTTGTCGCCACCTTTCCCACCCCTTTTTTGTTTCTTTTTCTTTTTCTTTTTCTTTTTCTTTTTTTTTTTTTTTTTTTTTTTTTTTTTTTTCTTTTCCTGCAGCGGAGCGGAGTGTGGGCGAGGGACTATTTCCCTTGTTTTTCCCCCCCTCAGCTTTCGGCTTCTCCAGTGTGGTTTAAGTGCATCTTTGTTCTGCGCTTTCCGCTTGGTTCTCCTCACCATCTCTTCCCTCTGCTACCATCATCTCGACTCAGCCATCATATCAACTCAGCCATCGTCTCTCTCTGCACCGACAATCGTCAGAGCGCGTCCTTGTCAAAGTCTTTCTCTCGCTCCCTTATTCCAGTACGGCAGCTCGAGAACACATACACAGTTACTTGCCTCTTCCCTTTCGACCAAGCCCCTCTTCACCTTTGATACCGCTCCTCAGCAGCTAATACCACCGCTTGACTACGCTTTCCTGCTTCTCTTTGGCAGCCGGTTGGCTCCCCAGTGATCGCTCACCATGTCGTTCTCAGACACGGCTCTTGCCGCTCCCCTACCCACAACAGAGGCAGCCGCTACAACAAAGCAGTCTGATCTGGTATCAAACATTCCAGCCCCGTCCCCACGTCTTGCCCAGCTCGACATTGTTGCAGCCTCTGCATCTTCGCCTTCCAATGATATGTCGCCAGCGCATCCCGCAACAGATTCGAGCCGTCACTCCACCCCGGCCACATCGGCGGCAGGTTCCGACCACGCTCAGTCCACATCACAGCAACCCAACGAGCTTGCTTCAACAATAGCATCTAAGCTAGCTCCTCAGCCCACAACAACCCAGCCAACCATACCGAACATGCCTGCACCGCAAAGTCTACCCGAGCCAACAACTTCTCCACCATCTTCACTGCAGCAGGCACAGGAGCAGCAACAGTCGCAAGAGCAGCATCAACAGTCGCAAGAGCAGCAACAGTCGCAAGATCAGCCTCAAGAGTCACGTCAGGAGGCCAAGCAGCTTGAAGAGCATCCTCTTGCTTCGATCCACCCTGCCTACTTCTACCCCACCGATGCTTCTGCTTCTTCTTCTCACGATGGCATCCCTGTCTTCGAGCCCACCATGCAGCAGTTCCAAGATTTCTACGCTTTCTGCCAGGCTATCGATAGCTGGGGCATGCAGTCCGGCATTGTCAAGGTAGTCCCACCCAAGGAATGGCGCGACGCCCTTCCCGACCTTCGACCCGAGCTCAACAGGCCTCCTCCTCGCCCATCTGCATCCGACGAGGAGCAGCAGGCAGAAGAGCTCGCCGACCTCTCCAAGGTTCGCATTCGCAATGCCATCGTCCAGCACTTTACTCCTGCAGGCTCCGGTGTCTGGCGTCAGACCAATATCACCCGTACAGCAAAGATCTGGAATGCCAAGCAGTGGGCGGACGCATGTCTCTCTGACGGTCAAAAGGGTCCTGAGATGGATCGCATGAAGTGGAAGGTCGAAGTTGAAGGCCTATCCAACGGCGGTTGGGGGCCCAAGAACATTGGCATCAAGGACAGCGCCACCTCTTTTATCCTCGAAGAAGACGGTGTTCGAACGAGAAGTGGCAAAGCCCGTCCGTCAGAGCCAAAGCCATCTCTCAAGCGCAAGCCTGCTGACGGAGAGGAAGCCACTTCAACTCAACAGACGCAAGATGACCAGCAAAGCAACCAGGATGCAGAAGCCTTTACGTCTCCTCCTCCATCTGCCACTTTGCCCTCTTCACCTGAACGTCGCTCACAACGACTCGTCCAAAACAGTCCACAGGCTACTCCTTCTGCCTCCTCTCGAGATGCATGGCCCGTCAAGAAAAAGAACTGGGAGGCAGAGGCTACCACACCGGACGAATGGCGCGCTTTCGACTACCAGAACTGTTGGCGCAAGGAAGCGCTCTCGAGCGAGCAACTCAGTGCGCTGAACAGCAACCAGCAGACCGCATCAACCAGCAAGGCCAACGGCTCTGCCGAATTCTCCTCCTCAACAACTACAACACCACAAGACAAAGATGCATCAGCCACACCACCTACGCTTCCCTCGCCTTCCGACTGGACTCCGGAAATATGCAGAGAGATCGAGAGCGAGTATTGGCGCAGTCTCAACTTTGGTAAGCCTCCAATGTACGGTGCCGACCTCAAGGGCACTCTCTTTGACGATCGCACCAAGCACTGGAATGTAGGCAAGCTCGACAATCTGCTCAACCGTCTTCGTCTCAAGCGCAAGCTGCCCGGTGTCAACACTCCCTATCTCTACTGGGGCATGTGGCGAGCCACCTTCGCATGGCACGTGGAGGATATGGATCTCTACTCGATCAACTACATCCACTTTGGTGCACCAAAGCAGTGGTATGCTATTCGACAAGCCGATCGACAGCGATTCGAGTCGGCAATGGCCGGTGCTTTCCCCTCGGATTCACGTCGCTGCCCTCACTTCATGCGTCACAAGTCCTACCTCGCTTCTCCTTCCTTCCTTGCATCGCACGGTATCCGACCGCTCAAACTCGTCCACAATGCCGGCGAGTTTGTCATTACCTATCCTTATGGCTACCACTCTGGCTTCAACCTTGGCTACAACTGTGCCGAGAGTGTTAACTTTGCCCTCGAGTCGTGGCTCGATATCGGTCGCAAAGCCAACTACTGCCACTGTGATCAGTCGCAAAACAGCGTTCGCATCGACGTCGATGCCATGCTGGACGAGAGCAAGGAGATGGAGGAGCTCGACCGTAAGCGAGAGTTGCGGCGTGCTAAGGAAGACCCCACCGTTCGCGCTCTCGAAGAGGAAGAACTCGAGAAGCGCAGAATCAAGAACGAAAAGGCCAAGGAGCGAAGGAGGCTCAAGAAGGGAGCTGAGGAGGCTCCAGCTGGTCTCGCCCTTCCTCTGCCCTTTCAAGGAGGCGAGGACTTCTACGTCGATCCAAAGGAATCCGCTTTTAGTCCATGCGTGTTCTGTCCAGCCAATGTCCACACCGACTTGGTGTCTACGCCTGCCGACATTCCTTCCACCAACCCCAAACTCAAGGCTATGGCCGGACGACACGCGCATCGACTATGCGCTAGTTTTGTTCCCGAGACGTGGGTGGGCAAGCAAGGCAAGGCAGATGTCGTTTGCGGTATCGAGGGTATCGACAAGGCTCGCTTCTCGCTCAAGTGCCAAATCTGCTCCAACACCAATCTGCAGAAGCTGTACCCCAAGATTCAATGCACACGTGGCAAGTGCCCGCGCTCAGCCCACGTCAGTTGTGCGCTGGTCGAAGACAACGGCTGGTTCGTTGATGTTGTTGCTGGAGAGACAGCCGATCGTCTCGAAAGCAAGAAGGAAGTACCCGCTGCCAAGGTTCATCAGACGGACGGATTGGAAGATGGTGAACGTCTTGTGGTGCTCTGCAAGACGCATAACCCCCTCTTCCGCGAGGCTGAAGAGGCTCGCAAGGCTGAAGCACTGCGTGAACGTATCTACGCTTTGCCTTGCCCCGGGATGGTCAAGATCAGGACTTCAGGTGGCATGTTCCAGGCGCTCATGGTGGAAGTGCGTGAAGATGAGGACGAGATCATTATCGAGGACGAGGGTCGTCCGAGTGCAGTCAAGTTCCAGCAGATCATCTTGGATTCGCCATCTGAGACTCCACCTGTCAAAGAGGAGTCCATCACCAACAATGGCGATGCTACAGCAACTGCGCCGCCAGCCGAGAAGGGTGATGCCGATGCCCCTCCGGTGAAGCGCAGAAGGAAGCAAAGCGAAAAGGCCAGTGCAGCTGCAAAGGCTGCAAGCGAAGAAGCAGTCGAGGCTGCCATTCTTGCCGAAGCGAATGCTGCAGCTCAAGCTGAGGCCATCCAGCGCCCTCGCAAGTCACGAGCAAAAGTGGCGGCAGCAGTATCGCAAGCAGATGCTGAAGCACAGGCAATGTTGGAGGCTGCAGAATCGCTCAGCTCTGTTGCAGGCAAGAAGGGCAAGAAGGATGAGAAGGCGGAAGCGGGTGCAGCTGAGCTGAAGCCCAAGCCAAAGCGACAGCCAAAGAAGAAGGCACAAGCTGGTCAGCCAGCGAACGGTGATGTAGTGGCGGCACCCGCGCCTTTCGATGCTCAGCAGCAGCCGCAGCTCGGTTCGGAAGTAGCATGGCCTGGCCATCCCATGCAGCAAGCAGGGATGCAGGCTCCGCAGCCGCAGCTTCCACAACCACCCAAGCGTGGTCCTCGTGCAACCTATGCCGCTCAGCCACCGAACGCCCAGCAGCAGCAGCAATACCCAGAGCAACACCCTCACTACAAGTACACGCAACACCTGCAGCAGCAGCAGCAGCAGCAGCAGCAACACCAGCAGCAGCACCACCACCACCACCAGCAACCTCACCCGCAATATGGCATGGACTATGGACAGATGCATCGCAACCAGCAAGATCCTCCATCGTCGGGCGAGTACGGGCAGTACCCTAACCAGTACGCGCCTGGTCATCCCCTCCCCTACTCCTCCAGTGGTAGAGAATACGACCCTGAAGCAGCCGAACATCACTCCCTCGCATCTCGCTATGCGCAGTCCAGCGTCCCTGCCGCTTCCCCCAGCCACAATCATCCACGACCAGCACCTTACCCTTCGCAGTACCAGCAGCATCCAGCCTACCCACCCCAGCAGCCGCACGTAGACTCGTCAAAGTCGGCTGCTAGCGACTCGGTTTCCCCTGTACCCGCATCTATGCACCCTTCAGCCGCGCAGTACGGTTATATTTCAGCCCCTCCGCAAGGATATCATAACCGAACACCATTACTTCCGACATATGCAAAACCGTTGTCGCAACAACCGCAACACGCACCACAAATGTCGCAAGGTGGGTTCGCGAACGAGATGTACGGCTACCCGGATTATAGAGGACCGTACAATTATTCTGCTCCGATGCAGAGTCATCCTGGTTATAGGGGTTATGGGGGTTATGGAGGTCAGCTGGGGCAGGGGCAGGGGCAGGGGCAGGGTGGTGGTGGCGGAGGAGGAGGAGGGCAGTATGGGTATTCTGCGGGAGATAGGGCTGGGTATCACCCTCAACAACAGCAGCACAGTGCAAATGGGATGGGGAGCGGAGCAAGGAAGTTTGTTGATGAAGCAGGTGTAGCCGGGGGCCAGCCGCAGCCGCAGCACGCGTACTATCAGCACCAGCAGCACCAGCAGCACCACGCGCAACAGCTGCAGCAGCAAAATGGGCAGCCGGGCTACGCTGGCGGACACTAGTCCCGATGCAACCCCGGCGGAACCTTCTGACAAGAATTGATGCCAAGCAGCAGTATAATGCAGAGCTAGATACCTCGAGAGTTGGCTCAGTAGTGCTTTCGAACGCAATGCATGCTCTGGATCGCAGCCAGCCCATCCCGCTCTTGGTCCGAAGCAGTGCCGTCGTGTTTGAGCAAAACGTGTCGCTCAAAACTGACCAGGATGAGGTTTGGCGAGACACAGGCGTGTGGACCCTGTTTTTGGGTCAAAGCAGCTGGAACGATAGCGGTGCTGTCAAACTGGCCGACTCGACACAGACTGGTAGCAACAAGCAAAGGATGTTAAAATAAAGGAGTCACTCGGCGACGATGATCGGGAGATATCAGCCAAAGTACAGTGTTCAAGCTAAAGAGCAAAACACTATACCATATTGACATACTAGAAGTGAATGTGGTGGGAGCCTCGAGGTCCCTGCCAGACTTATATACAAACATGTGGTGCATGCCCAACTGTGGGCATATCCTACCTAATGACAGTGTGTAACAACAAGTGGGATACAGTTGTATCCAATCTCTGCCTTGTATCAGCTCAGCCTGATTCTTTATCTGAATTGTCTCATCTGATCCCAATCAGATCTACTTAACCTGATTGCTGACTGAACCTTCTCTGCCCAATCCTCAACAGATCTGATCTACATTATCCATAGATTGGACTAGATCACAATCTCCAACACCCCCTCTCAATCTGGTTTGTCCTTATAATGTTGTCAGTCCCAACTGTCTAAGGTACACAAGCCTTGGTGCTGCAAGGGGCTTTGTCAGGATATCTGCAAGGTTCTCACTGCTTTGGATGGGGGCAATTGTGAGTTAACCATCAGCAACTTTGTCCCACAAGAAGAAGTGTGCAATATCAATGTGTTTTGTCCTCTTGAAATGCTGTGGTTCATTAGTAATGACCCTTGCTTCAGACAAGTCACTGTACAGGATTGGTATGGTAGTGTCAAGTATCAGTTCCTGGTTGCATGAGTGCAGTGTCAAAGTTTCAGCTGTGACATGGATTGAGGATGTTCTTGGTAATGACTGACCCAGTTCTCTCAAGAACATGGATATCCATAGCATTTCCCTTGCTGTGGCTGCCAGTGTGACATATTTGGCTTTGACTGAACTGTTTGCTATGGTCAGCTGGAGTTGGGAGGACCAACTGCATTGTGCCGCATCACGCTCGTCTTGGTCTCTTGGCTGGGATGTTTGTGGCTGCATCACACTCATCTTGCTCTCATGGCCAAGATGTTTGTGGCTGCAACGAGATATCACTCATGTCTTTGTCAGTCTCTTTAGCTTCAGGAATACCATCAATTCACAACCTCATCATACGACTGCGCAGCAGCACATGCATATGAAACCGTTGATGGCAAAGACATACCCTGTTGTTGAATGGAAACACTCTTGTGACCCCACCCAATCTGAGTCCATCCATCCCATTAACACCTGCTTGCTACTGACTTGGCTTGCCACTAGGCTAATGTTGATCTTTCCTTTTAGATGCCTGATGATCCATTTCACAGCAACTAGGTGTTTGCTTGATGGATTGACAACAAAACAGGTGCATTGTCCCACCACAAAAGCTATGTCAGGTCAAGTTCCTTGTGCAATCCAGAGTAGCAATCCAACCAGTGAAGTGTAGTACCTGATCTCTTCTGCATTGGCTGTATCACCTTGTTGCAGACCCATTGTGTTGATTGCTTCTGTAGCTGGTGATTGTGTTGACCAAGCCTCATGCATACCAAACTTTTCAAGTAGTCCTTTGATATACCCAGTTTGATTGTTCAAAAGTGTTTGCAACTCACAATTGTATTTGACATTCATACCAATGATGTGTGAAACATTTCCTTGATCTGTGATGCTGAAGATGCTGGATAACTGATGTCTAACTGAACCAATGCAGGACAATGTTGCTCCAATGATGAGTAGATCATCAATGTAGATTGCAAGCATTATCATGGCATCTTTGGCTCCTTGTGTGTAGATGCATGGTTCTGCACAACTCTGTCTGAATCTGAATGCCTGTAGTTGTTTGTTGAGGGCAGCATTCCAGAGTCTACCTGCCTGCTTGAGACTGTATAGTGCTTTCTTGAGATGGTAGCACTTCCCATTGTTCTTGTGTGCCCCAAACATGGGGGGGATTCACATGTGGATGACCTTGTCTATTTTTCCATTTAAGAATGCCATGCTCACATCTAGTTGGGTGACATGCAGCCCATATTGATGGGTGAGAGCAAGAAGTATTTGCACTGTTTGAAGACAAACAACTGGGCTGAATGTTTGGTCATAGTCCAAGCCAGGTCTTTGGGTGTAGCCTTGCACCACAAGTCTTGCTTTGTACCTGGTGGTGCAATGCTGAGCATCCAGTTTCAACTTGTATACCCACCTTACTCTGATCAGTTTGCTGTCTGCAGGATGTCCACTAGCTTGAAGACATTCATCTTTTGCATGCTTTCCATCTCAGTGACCATGGCTTCTTTCCATTTTGGCCAGTCATCTCAGCTTTTCACTTCTGACAACAACAACAGTTTAAGCAGGATGCCATCTGTGCTTCTGAGTTGTTGGCTGCTGGCTGTCAGGGCAACACCATCCATTACAGTGGCCACAAAAGCCATCTGGTCAAAGTAGTGGTCCAGGGCCTCAGTTGTTGGGCCTATGGTGCATCTTGTAGTGAGGGCCATGTAACTGCACAGGGTCAGGGGATCTGGCATCTTGTTATCCAGTGATTTGGGTCTCGGCAGCATGTAGTCATTGTGTGAGCTGAATTGAGGGGACTCAAGTTGTGAGGTGTCATTGGGATCACCTGGGGTTGTGCTGGTGCCCCCCTTGGCTGTCGCTTCATTGAGCTGGTGGTGGAGGTCAGTGTGGATAGCATCCATATCAATGACAATCTCACTGGCTTCTTGTATCTCAGACATGATTTGATCCCATTCTGGAAAGGGTGTCAATTCCTCATTGTCATTACTGGGTGGAGTTGCTTCTCACTGTCTGGAGAAGAATGGTAAGGAGTGGTTAACAATGTCATTGTCATTAGGGTCTGGCAGCTCATCATCTGTGGGTAGCCAGCTGTACAAGCACAGTAAGTCATTTTCACCAGAGAAGACTGGTGTGTGCAGAGACTGTGCACCTGTGTTCAGACCTTCAAGCTCTGAGAAGCAGATGTCCTTGGCTATGACAATGTGATCAAGATCCTTTAACCAAACCTGGTGTCCTTTGATTGCATGGGCTGCACTTGAGTAACCTAAGTACATGCCCTGTAGGGTGCAAGGGTGCAGGTGCTTGCTTGCTGTCAGGTTGTTGCAGAGCCAAGTTGTCTTAGTGTTACCACACAAGACTACATATGCAATACATCCAAAGTGACAAACATTACATAGGTTGGGGGTCTTGCCATAGAGAACCTTGAATGGTGTCTTGTTTCCTTGTGTGGTTCCAGCAAGCCAATTGCATATGTATGCTGCTTGTGATATGGTGTAGGGCCACCATTGTTCTTCAACATTGCTGTCAAACATCCTGCATTGTGCAACCTTTTGGATGCTCTGCATGGCACATTTGGTGAATGCATTATCAGTGTGTTGTTGCATCAGCAAAGCAGTGACCTTGATCCTGGCTGACAAGCACAGGTTGTGGAATGATATTGTCCAGAGTTCCCCTTGATTGACCCTAACCTCCTTGATACCTTGAGCCAGCATGATCTCATGTGCTTGCCACTGGGTAGATTGTTGCACCTCCAACATCCATCACAATGCCTCTGTGGTCACTTGGGCTTTGTTAGTTAACCCCCAAACCCATATCATGCCCAAGTATGTGTCATGTATTACTAGGATGTATGAGTACTGCAGGTTCTTAGGTAACAGGCCCATGACATCCATGGAGACTAGCTCCAGCAGGTACCCAAGTTTGCAAGGGTGCAGGTTTGTCCTTGCAGTGTCTTTGCTACATATGCAGGTGCCACAGAGTGTTTTGGGATGAGATGTCTGGGAGGAGGGAATGTTGTGGCTGGTGGTGGCTGCTCAAGTGCACAGGAGTGCTCCATGGCCTGGGTGACCTATGTGGCAGTGCCAGAGATTGGCTCTATCACTTGACATGTGTGGTCAACCCTTGCTCTGTACCGCTCCTGTGAAGGCTAGAGACACCTCAGGCTTGGGCATGCTATTTGTCAGGGGTCTCGCGCCTGAAACCTGATATTTGTAGTAGAAATGCGTCTATTACAGATCCTGTTGAGATATGTGGTAAAGTGCAGTGTATTATTCTTCTTCTCAAGATCTGTTGTAGAGAGCCTCTATGACTTTTCTCACCCAAAGATGTAGTAGTGTGTTTGCTATTGCAGGTTTTGACTAACTGCTGTGGACACTCTGTCCAGAGGTAGCTCGGCACAATCAATAACTATAGATAGGTTGCAATGACACCAAGGTCTGGTGTGAGTGATGTTGCTGGTGCCAACATGAGTGTCCAGTGTGTTGACTGAGTGCTTGAAGTGATCCCTGGACTGCAGTGGATGACTGCCTTTGGTTTCTAATGATCAAGAGAGCCAGACTGCAGTATGAACTGCCTTTGGTGTTGATCGATATCCAGACCGCAGTTAATACTGCCTTTGGATGATGTCAGTGAGCAGTGATATAACACATGTGCTACAATAGAAGCAATACTATGTGATTGCAACTTGCTGATGGAAAAACTACTAAATATACTTATGCTGAAGTGATAACTAGTAATGTATGGTGTAGAGTGGATGGAGCTCCACTCGACTATTATGATGAGAAGCATGGTCATATATATAGATGTGCCCCCCAGTGTTGCCTGTGACACTGCTACTGCTCCAGGGGGTCCTCTCCAACACTGCCCCTCCTCCTCGTGTTCCTCCTAGCTGTCCTGACTACTCTGTGAAGTTGCTCTTTGGTGCTACTCCTTGTCCTTCCTGTGAATGGGAGTTGCTTCATCCTTGATAGGGGCCACTCCCACTTCATCTGAGTGGCAACACACCCCCTTCTTCATCTCTCCCATCCTCCAGCTCCGAGTTCATCATCAAGTTGGCCCCCTGCTTCATCAGGGTGGCAAACCCAATGCTCCCACCATCTTGTCCTGCTGAGATGTCTGTGCAATCAGCACCCATGTGAGATCCATCATATGATCATGATACTATGGATCCCAGCAGAATTTGTGATACAATCCTTGCTTGTGCCAATCTGGGCAAGATCTGTCATAGAGCCTCTCTACTACAGATCTTGATGAACTCTGTTGTAAACCCCTCGATTTGCCCAATTCTCGATTCCTGTGCTCCTCCTCATGAGACTTCCGCTTCTCATAAGGCTTCTGCTTCTGCGCTTCTAGTCCTATGACACTATCATCCCATAATAACATTCCTGCTGCAGGGTATCCGTTGCCACTGATTGTAATGCCTATCGCATGGCCATGTCGGTCTTGAACTGTGATGAGTTCATCCTCAAACATCACTTTTCCTTTTGCTTGAGTGACTGCCTTGGTACCAATGAGATTTGTCATTAATTCAGGGACAAGGAGGCATTTGCCATATACCATCCATTCCCAACACTTCATTGTTGGGCTGAAGCTGAGTAGACTGATGATGCCTCCCACTTTTGGTACCTGGAGTTTGCCACTGTCAGTGGTGGTGATGCTCACAGAGTTGTCAGCATCACACCATCCTTTTCTGTGTTGTGCCAAGTTCACCATTACACATGAGGCTCTGGAGTCAAACACAAAAGGTATCAATCAGGGTGTTATAGATGTTGGTGCTGATTCAAAATCTGTTAAGAGTGCAAGTATTGGCACCTTATCCTAGTTGTCTTGTGGCTCATCAAGCAGCAGCACCACACAGGCATTTGCACAAGCCTTAGGTGGTACTTTGACTCTATCTTGCTTCCATTTGTCATATGCAGCCTCATTGGGGCACTGGTTTGTGTGGTGTCTGTTGTCTCCACATGCCCAGCAGTTGACTAGGGTTGCAGTGTGCAGGGCACTCAAGTCTACATCCTCAATGTGAGTAGCAAGTCAAACTGGAGCACTGTCTGCTGCTAGTTTGTAACACTTGCACAAGATGTTGGTGACACTTGATGATGTATGTTCTTTGATTAATGTTTTGTATAATACAAAGATTGAGTTGAAGAGGGTGTTTCTATTGCTGGGGAGAGTGCATTTCAAGGTCTTGTACCAGTGAGCTGGGGTCCAAGGCTCAGTCAGGTAGGCATGTAGTTCAGAGACATGTGCTTTCCATTTTGTGAGGAAGTTGTAAGCATGGCTTCCTACTTGATTCCACTTCAGAGTGTACATTGCCTTGAGGAGCTCGTATTTCTTCATATCCAAATGTGCTGTACATTTGTTGATGGCCCAGTTGCATCTCAATGGGCCTGTCTCCTTGTTCCAAAAAGTACTCTGTCTGTAGCTGTGGAGAGAAACCGTGCATGATGATCAAGCATAGTAGAGAGTCCACATTGGTGAACATTGTTAGCTTGCAGTGGAGTACATCACATGCAAATGGTATGACTGAGAGCTTCTTGTGCAACAGTCATTGCCATGCATGAACCAAAACTCTTTTGGGGTTGAGTAGCTCTTTTTTGACCCATCTTAATTTGTTGCTTAGGCTGGTCAACACCTTGAGGTGATGGTTTGTCAGCTGGGTCAGCTTCAGCATTGTGGTGGGTGTGGCTTCTTGGCTGCAGAGAGGTTTATTGGGTGTTGCTTCTTGGCCATGCAGAGGTTTCTTGGATGTCTCAGTATGTTGTGCCTTGCTGCCTGACAGTGTAGCATCTTGAATGTCATGTTGGCCAATATCTGCAGCATGATAGTAAGGCACATTGCCTGTATTGGTCAAGGTGCTGGGCTTGTTGCCCTCAATCTTGAGGTCTAGAATTTGTGAGGTGTCACTGTCTTCATTTGTGATGAAGAAGTTGATGTGTGCTCTCATCTGTTTTCCAAGGTCAAAGTGATTGCAAAATGGGCCTAGTTTTTGGGTTGCAAAGTAGAGATGGCTAGCACACTGGATTAGGATAGTGAGCAGCATCACTACTTGCTTCCTGTTTATGCCACTGGAGTAGTCAAAAATCAGTCCATCCTTCAGCTCCTCCATTGTGCTGTATACTTTGTTTTTGATCATCCTGTGGAATCAGCTCTGAAGTTGATTTGCGAGGTGATGGATGATGTCCTTAGCATTTTGAATGAAGTCTTTGTATGCTGAGTAATTGTGGTTCGACATGTCAATGGTGAAACCTCTTGTTGATATCAGATTTTGGTAGTGTATTAGCTATTTGGGCTCATAACTTGTTAAAATAAAGGAGTCACTCGGCGACAATGATCGAGACAAAGGATTAATTCCAAAAGGAGTTGCAATTTCCCAAAAAAAAAAAAAAAAAAAAAAAAAAAAAAAAAAATACAAAAACAAAAACAACCACCTCGAACCTTACCCGCATCTTCACCTGGCTAGGCAAGCACTCAGTGAGGGAGAAGGGTTAGAGCTTAGGTGGACGGGAGCTGATCTGAGCGGGGCCCTGTGCGTAGACCTGTTGGATCTGCTCTTTAAAACGCTCCACGGCTTCGTGTCTCTTGACCTTGAAGGTAGGAGTCAACAGACCATTTTCCACCGAGAAGGGCTGCATGGTCAGATATAAGCCTTTGATGTATTCGAAACCTTTCATCTTGTTTTGCCGGGCAATCTTTGTATATTGATCCAAATAGGCAGCAATAACTTTGGGATCCCTGCAGGCATTTTGCATCGCATCGAGGTTATCAGGAGTGATGGTGCTGCCGAGAATCTTGGATGCTAGCGGTGCGAATGTGGTTGGTTCGGGAACGGAAATGCCAATCAGATAGTCCCTGAAGGAGTCGCCGTGAACCAAAAGTTGAGCTGCGAGCGGGTTTTGACCATAAAATTCCGAGAGATTGTCAATCGCAACATACTCTCCCTGGGAGAGCTTGAGCAAAGATTTAACGCGATCGATGATTTTGACGCGATTAAACTCGTCGATGGCGGCAATATCGCCAGTTCGCAAGAATCCATCGTCTGTAAGAGCCTCTTTGGTTTTATCTTGATCCTTGTAGTATCCAGGGAAGGTACATTGGGATTTCACGAGAACTTCACCGCGTGGGAAAGGTTTATCCTCGCAAGTGTATCCCAGCTCAGGTACATCGGCAAGTTTCAACTGCATGCCTGGATAGACAGCACCTACGGAACCCATGGAGATGTCGTTAGGATACATGACAGTGCAGAAACCGTAGTTTTCGGTTTGGCCATAACCTTCGCGAACATCGCAAGAGAGACAAACTCGAAGGAGTTTCAGAACATCACCTCGGATCGGGGCGGAGCCGGAAGTGATGTACTGCACCTTACCGCCCAGAAGGGCTTTGACTTTGCTAAAGACGAGAGGATCGTAGAGCGGGTGAGTTAGGCTTCCGTCTCGGTCGTGGTTGGCAATCTTGGTAGCCAAGGCCTTGCGAAGAAGAGCAGCTTTGAGACCAGGAGCAGCAGCCTGAGCTTGAACGAGAGCGGCGATACGGTTGAGGACGCGAGGAACGGAAGGAAACATATCGGGTTTCAAAATCGACATGTCCTCGAGAAGACGAGTGGTGTCGCCGTTAAAGTAACCGACGCGACCACCGGTGCGGACAACGACGATTTCGCAGAGTCGAGCATAGATATGAGCGGTGGGGAGGTAGGAGATGACGGTGAACTTGCCACGTTTGTGGAAAGCCATGGTAGTGGTCACGTAACCACCCATACCGGCGGTGATGATAGCCGCTTTAGGGTTACCGGTGGTGCCGGAAGTGTAGCAGAAGGAGTGGATGCTGTCATACTTGGGAGGGATGTGGGCAGCAAGGTTCTTACGACCGAGATCGAGGATTTGGAACCAGTTGAAGATTTGGATATCGCAAGTCTTGGCCCATTCTTTAGCAAGCACGTCACGTTGCGGGTCGACGAAGCCAGCTTTGAGGGATTGCTTGCTGGGACGGAAAGCGTCGAGGATGACAATCGCCTTGAGCAAAGGCAATTTCCCCTGCTGGGCGGCAGCAAGAGCAACGCCAACGTGATTAGGAGTGGTGAAGAGGACGCGAGTTTCGGCATGGTTGAAAATGTACTGAGCGGAAGCAGCATCGTAGGTCTCGTAGAGCGAGACGGTACGACGGCTGTAAGCCAAATTGGCATAATCGATGATCATGAATTCTGGACGGTTCAAAGTCCAAATAGCAACAGTCCATTCAGTTTCGCCAAGATGGTTACCGAGAAGACCCTGCTTGGCAAGAGCGCCGAGGCCAGAACCGATGGCAGTTCGTTCCTCTTCGATTTCCTGGTGGGTATACCATTCAAAGTAGGGTTCAAAGTTGTTGGTGACGGGATTCCAAGGTCTCCAACCAGCGACTTGTTCCTCGAGGTTTTCCTCCTTGGCGCGAAGGAGAGTATCGTATACGGTGCAAGTGGTTTCCCATTCGGGCTGAGCAGCGGATTTGTAGATAGGGGAGAAACCAGGCTGCTTGGAACCGGGAACGGGAAGCATCTGCTTGTCCAACGGGAAGCTGACTTCGGCGGGCAAATCGGTTGACATTCTAGAGACCTTTTCCGTGGGGGTTGGGTTGGGGTTGTTTGAGATGGTGTTGGTTGTGGTGATGGGATGGTGAAGAGGCAAAGCGATGATCCAGGGGCAATCCAACAGTATGGCAGCGCGGGGGATGGTAAGCAGGCAAGGGAGGCCAAGCGCAGAGAGGCATTCCGGCAGCCTTTGAAGCGGAGAGAAAGCGGGCAACAGCACGACAGCAGAGGTGAGTTTTCTCTGTCTGCTTCTGGGCCCTCGGTCTCTGCCTCTTCTGCCTCTTCTGCCTCTTCTGCCTCTGAGTCACTCTCTATCGGCTCTTCCGTCTGTGATACTTTAGGAGGAATGTGATGCAACCAAAGAGAGAAAAGCATACACCTTTTCAACCGGAACATCCGAATCCCAGCTGCTCCTTCTGCTATTTTGCTGTTATTGTGGCTGTTATTGTGGCTGTTGTCCTGTTGTGCCGTTGTGCCGTTGTGCCGTTGTGCCGTTGTGCTGTGCTCTCTGTTCTGGAATCGGTGAAAACGCGCGTCTCTCTCTCTCTCTGTCTCTCTCTCTCTCTCTCTCTCTTCTCTCTCTCTCTTCTCTCTCTCTCTTTCTCTCTCGGCTCGCTATGGTTGGCCGGCATCTTGGATAACCGGTCCAGCCGGAAGTCGAGCGCTTTCCATCAATCGCCACACAGCAGCCCCGTTTTTGTTTCGCACGAACCCACCTCCTCCACTAAAACCAAGCATAGACCCACACACCACAGCAACACCACAGCAACAGCATAGCATGATAGAGAATCTCGCTGGACAGACATGTGGGGAGGGCTCTTTGTTTGCAAACACCGACCGAGATGAAAGTGGGCGACCGAGATAAAAGCGGGCGACCAAGGTGTCCAAGTTGTCCGTCTTGATGGTGGAAAGGAAGCATGTTAGCTACCCGATCTGACAGTGCAAAATCAAAAACCAATTCGGATCTCGCCATTGATTTCTTTCTCATACAACACTGCCTCATCGGGATCGGGATCGAAATCGGGATCGAAATCAATATTAAAAATCGGGATTGAAATCGGGATTGAAATCGGGATCGGGGGAAATCTGGAGTTTGCCATGGAGGCAAAGAAGGATCCAAGTCGCAATGCTGCTTCGACTCAACAAGAAAAGATACCAGGTGTGCATCAGGCAGGGAGAGAGAGTGGCAGCATATCCGCTTTCGAGAGCCAAGACAAGCAGCGCTTCTTTTGCCTATATGTTTAGTGGTGGGCAGCCTTTAAAACCTTCTGGCCTGTAGGATTCGAAGGCAGCATCAGCAATCACCGTCGCCAGAAGAAAGTGGAGAGCAAACGAGTCAGCGATGCGTTGAGACGTTGACCATTCGATTGTCTAGCCTCAAGGACCATGTCAATACTGACCGTAAGGGTTGCGCGGGTCCTTGGAAGCCTCCTCAGTAGAAACAGCCATGTCCTGCAGCTTGTTGACACCGTAAAACACAACACCGGCCGCGATGAAGAAAGGCCACATAGGCTTCAACATAGGAGTCGGGTAAGCGCGGAAGCCGAAGAAAGCCATTGCGACAAATATGAACTGATCGGTCTTTTGGGATGAGTTGTGGGATGAGCCGTGGGATGAGCTGTGGGATGAGCGTGTTTTGATGTTGGTGGTGGTGGATGATACGATTGTCGTGGATAATCCTGGAGACGTTGACGAGGCTAAGAATCCAGAAATCCTCGCTTCCGAGCTTGGCCTTGACTGCTTTTGATTGTTGAATTGTCTGAAATTCAACTACAGTTGACTTGAATTCCTTGATCGAATTCAACCAAGCTGGATTACTGATCGAAAGGAGCCGGTGATCGGGCAAGTTCTTCTCCCGATAACACCATCCTCCGATTCCGCCCTGAACGCAATTGAGCCTCAAGTCAAGTTGTGCTGCTCACTGTCACATCAACCTTGGACATTATCATTAGGCACACTCGGCACATGTGATCATAACGAGGATCGAGCTGATATGCTCTCAATCGACCCCAGTCACAGTCTTGGCGTTCTGAGCATCTCGGCGCTTCCGACAGTTCAGTGAGGCCAACTCAGCCAGGACGCCTGCGACCATCGTCGGGCCTTCCGACACCTCACTCAGCATGGCCGCTCCCCTGTCTCCGATCCTTGCTTTCCTGGCTGAGTTCTTGAGACCGACAGCCATCATGAGATCCTCTTATAAAGGTCTGACTATCCCCTGTTCCCCTCGCCACCTTCCCCCCTCGCCACCTTCCTCCCTCGCCACCTTCCTCCCTAGCCACCTCCCTCCATTCCTGAACCAGTCTCCATCTCTCGTCTAAGCTCCTCCTCCACCATGACTTTGGCTGACGATACTAACCAACGCATTCCCTTTCCCTCCCCCAGTCTACACCGCGCCACGAAGGAGCAAGCAGCACCAAAGAGGATGGACCCGTCGCAATGCTTTGCAGTCATTGTCAGTCAAGTCGAGAACCTCGCCAACGCTTCCCAGGCGAGGGCAGAGACACCTTTTAGCATTGCAGCAACCGAAGCCTCTCTTTTGCAGTCTCACAAAACCGTCGATCCCACAACTTGGTCAACTCGCCGCAAGTGGTTCTACACCACCCTCGCCGCTCTCACCATGTTCAACGGCTCTTTTGCTTCCACCGCTCCCAACGGAGCAGGTCCGCGCTTGGTGCAGCAGTTTGCTCTCTCCAACGAAGAGATGGTCTTCATCGCAACCTCGTTCGTAGGAGGATGTGTCGCTGGCCCCATCCTCTGGGCTCCCCTCTCGGAAGTCTACGGCCGTCGGATCGTCTTGCTGATATCGATGCTCTGCTATGCTCTCACTAACATAGGTTGTGCACTAGCCCCCATCAAAGCTGTCCTCTTTGGCTCTCGCTTCCTAGCAGGCGTCTTTGCTTCATCCGCTTTCTCCAATACTGCAGCTCTTGTCACTGACCTCTTTGCTCCGCCGGACCGCGCCAAGCCCATGGTTGTAGTCTCACTGGCGCCCTTGCTAGGGCCCTGCTTTGGTCCGCTCTTTGGTGCAGGCGTCAGCAAAAACCTTGGTTGGCCCTATGTGTTTTGGCTACTTGGTCTCTTTGGTCTGGTGCTAGAGTTGGTGCTCTTGTTGGTGCCAGAAACATATGCTCCTGTAATTGCAAAGAAGGGCAAGCTAAAAGAGGACATCCATCCCAAAGTGTCTTGGAGTCGAAAAGCTCAAAGCTTGCTTGTCCTAAATCTTGGACGACCGGTGAGTCTTGCTCAAAAACCATCTCTCAGCAAGGTGAGCCCTCAACCGGCTGACCTAGTTCATCACTCTTTTCACCGTTTCAACAGCTCAACATGATGCTGCGAGAGCCCATCGTCATGTGCGCCAACTTTTATCTCTCGTTTTTCTTTGCCCTAATGTGAGTAGATCCGACGCCAACAGTGACCTCAACTTTGGATGCTGAACCTTGGATGCTGACCAACTATTAACGACTTGTGACTTGCTAGGTACGTCTTTTTCGCCAGCTGGCCACTCATCTTTGGACCACCGGGCATCTATCGCCTCGATGCAGTGTACAGTGAGTTTCTTGTCCTTGCTCTTCTCCAACACTGAAGCTGCTGACATTTTCCTTGGTTGGTGCAAGCGAGCAGCCGGGATCACCTTCCTGCCCATGGCGCTGGGAGGCATCCTGGCTGCGCTACTGCTACCTCTTTGCGAGCGGTACTATGTCAGACGATGCAAAGCCGCGGGCATGCCTGTACCAGAGGCGAAGCTCCTTCCAAGCTTTTTTGCGCCGCCACTCGTCGCCGTTGGTCTTTTGTAAGATTGTCATCCCTTTGCTTGCCCCTCAAGAGCTTGTGACAGGGAGCATCGATGAATTGACACTGTCTATTTGGCCTATACACAGATGGGCAGGCTGGCTAGGAAGGAGAAGTATTCCATACGAGGTCACGATGCTAGCCGGCATTCCAATCGGTGCTGCCATGGTGCTTGTCTTTCAGGGCTGGATCGGATACCTCGGCGATTGCTACCGGCTGTACTCTTCCTCTGCAGTAAGTATACCCATTCATTGGCCGAGTCAGAAAGCCCTGTCAGCGCTATACTGACTCTTTTAGATTCCATGTTGGCGGCGCATGAATGCAACAGATCGCAGCAACAGTCATTGGAAGGTCGCTTTCCGGTGCAACGTGAGTTTCCAAACCTTGTTCCGAGACCATCTCTGACTTTTGCGCTAACCTTGATATCTGTACGCATCTCGAACAGGATCCCACTTTCGACGCATCGCTTGCACGAGAAGCTCGGCGGTATCGCATACCTGTACACGATGCTTGCTGGTCTGGTGCTGTTGACGACACCAATTCCCTATCTCGTCGTTCGTTACGGAAACCAACTTCGCTCCCGATCGATGTACAAGCCGGGTCGAGCCTGAGTCGCAGGCATCTATCATTAGGGCTGGCTGGCAGAGCCGGAAAAGATATGAGTGCAATGCTGCTGTCGTCCGAATTGTCGCGCAACTCTGTTGAATGTGAGGGGTGCAGCGTTGCGCTCGAGATAGAGCTGCAGGATAACAGGAACAACGTGATTTTGTCGAGTCAAATTAGCCGAACTGAGCCGAGTATGAACAATTTGGCCTTGGCTTGTTGCTAAAACCGCCAAAAACGTCTCTCAAGAGGTCGATCCGACCAACACCACCACGTTCTGAAGCCACACGTTTGGCAAAACGTGTCGCTCTCTCTCTCTCTCTCTCTCTCTCTCTCTCTCTACCTCTCTTTCCCTCCTCGCCCGCTCGGTGGTAGTGCAGATCATTGAAGAGTCGTCGTCGTCAGGATGGACGAAGTGGTTCCAGGCCTATGGGTAGGTGGGGTGCGAGCCGCAATGGATGTTGACTATCTCTCGCGGGCAGGCGTAACAAATATCATCACATGCATGAAGCAGAACATCCCGGTACCACGGCCGCTCGCAGACGGGAGAACAATCACGAGGGAGCATATGAAGCATGTCCGGATCGACGACGAAGAAAAGGCACCTATCTTGGTGCATTTTGCAGACTGCAACGAGTTGATCGCCGAGCAGCTGAAAGAGGAATGGATTCCCGACACTCCCGACATCTCCACCACAACCGACGATGAGATGGCGGAGGAGGAACAAGTCGATCAAGTGCAACACCTCGTGGCAGGCCGACAGAAGCGAGGTGGGCAATGGGGGACATGGCAGACCACCGGAGCTGGCACCGTACTTGTTCACTGCCAAGCTGGCTGTTCTCGCTCAATCGCCATCGTTGCGGCCTACCTGATGCACACTCGGCGCATCTCTGCCGCTACAGCTGTCTGTATGCTGCAGAAGCGAAGGAAAGATGCAGAGCCCAACAAGGGGTTCATGGCTCAACTGGAGCTGTACGAGCAAGTTGGCTACGAGATCGACATGAAGTGGCAGGCAGTCAGACGGTACTTGATGAGCAAGACCGACATTCTCAATGGCGATAGTATCGACGATATGTTGCTCAGCTACTATCCCAGTCCGTATCTGAGTCCGGCATTGGGTGCGAGCGGGTTGAAAGGCTTTACTGCTATCAAGCCGCTTCCACCAGCTCATAATGCAAGTGCCAGTACGGAAGTCGGCGATGATGGCGGATTGAGTGTCGAGAATCAGCCTACAGCAATCACAAAATCGCGCAGAAATTCCACAAGCAACGCAAAAATGCGTTCTTGTTCGGCATCTTCTTGTTCCATCTCTTCCAACACTTGTCCAACATCAGCACCGAGGATCTCGCTTCTTTCGTCCATCGCACCATCACCAACGACGGCGAACAGCACTCACAACTCGGTCGGAAATTTCGATAGGCAGTTGTCCACCATGGTCACTCCTTCCACCGACGCTGGACCGTCTACTGGTAGCAGCAGCGCCAACACGGAAGTCAAAGTCACAGCCAACTCATCCGGCCGTCTTCCTGGCGGTGTTAGGAATATTCGCGGACATGAGGGTCTCAACAACCGAGGAGCCTTGCCAAAGCCACAGTTCACGGGACCAAAGCTGAGATGCAAAGGATGTAGGAGAGAGTTGGCGGCGCACGACCACGTCGTGATTCATGAGCCGGGTAAAGGGCAGATGGCCTTCGATCACAGTAGAAGGGATACTGGGCATGCGGAATTGAACAAGATCAGCGATATTCGCGAGAGTGCCCAGCAAGATGGAGCAGCAGCACTATCGGTGGAGAGTGCTGTGAATGGAGAGGCTGCAGTGGCAACGACAACCGAACAAAGCACCGAGACTGATGCAAGTCCACCAAAACCGCCAGGCATCCAAACGGCAGCATCACTAGCATCTCAACTACCACCTCACCTAGCCGCTCTCCGTCGTGGCGGCAACCGACGACAACCTCCACCACTTGCCACCTCGACCCTCCCGCACGCACCGCACGCACCGCACGCACCGCACACATTGCCACTACGGACAACTAGGTCGATGAACAGCATGCTCAAATCACCGGCATGCAGCAGCTACTTTATCGAACCGATGGCCTGGATGTCGCATCTTTCCAGCGGACAAGTGACGGGCAGATTGAACTGTCCAAGTGCCAAATGTGGCGCAAAACTGGGTAGTTGGGATTGGGCAGGCATGCAGTGTGCATGTGGAAGTTGGGTTACTCCCGCCTTTGCGCTCCATCGGAGCAAGGTCGATGAGATTTGAAAAAGAGACACTCGATCATGTTCTCTGATGCCATGGTTCGCCTCGCGATCGCTGTAACGCTCGCTTGCTCTCGCCGAGTCAGACTCTTGACACACTTGAAGGCACGTTGAAGGGGAATCCCATTGCATCTTTGAAGGCATGTGTGTGTGTGTGTGTGTGTGTGTGTGTGTGTGTGTTTCAATGCCTCCTCGCAGCCCTTGCCTCCTCCTCTCTCCTTCTCTGGCTGGTGATTTGCTGGCTAACTTGCGCCACCTGTTCACCGTCTTGGCTGGCATACTCGAATCTAGATTGAGCCTTTGCTTTCCTCTCTTGGTCGTATCTAGCGGCTAAACCTTTGCGATTATGTAGATCATCTGGATGGATAGAGACTTGAATTGCATCGGCTGCTCTCTTAGTTCCGCGTTCGGAGGTGCGTTCGGAGCCAAGGAGAGGTTCATTCGAATACCAATGCGGCTTGGCGCCCTCAAGATCATAGAGGCGTTCTGAAGCAATAAACTGACCACTAGCTGATGAGCTTGCTGCTCGTTCAGGTAGAACTTGGTACAGCGATCTAGGTGCAGCTTCTTTGTTGCCCTCGACACGAGCATCTTTACGCAGTTCGATGAAGGATGGGGTTTGTAAACCCGCTGCGACTGTTGATGCGACGGATTGTAATCCGGATTGGTCGACTGCTTCTTGCTGCTCTTGCTCTTGTTGTTGCTCCTCTTGCTCTTGCTCTTGCTCTTGCTCTTGCTCTTCTTCTTGCTCTTCGTGATCGCTCTGTTCAGGTTCGAGTTGACCCCAATGCTGTTTCTCAACCTTGTCCACCAATTCGGCATCGAGGGCCAACTCGACTGGATTAGCCAAGACATTTGCATAGAGCGGCTTACCATACTCGTCGACAGGTGGTCTACCCCATCCTCCGGGATGGAACCCCCACTGTGCACCTTCTGGGATGGGTGCATTCAAACCAGGTATCTGCAGATGAGGATAACTGGGTGGAGGGCCGTATCTCTGCATTGCAATCAGCCATGGTGGTGGTGCAAGTGGCGGTATACTGAGCGCTTCGATCAACGGCTTACTGAGCTGTCCCGGTCGCTTATCCTTATACTTGCACTCGTACTCCTTGCCTTCATAGTAGATATCTCCATAAGGCGAAAGATGTGGAGGCGATTGGAACTTGAAAAACGCATCGTAGAGCTTTTGATAATCGATATCCATCTTACCCATCTTGGGCTGCACCCTCTCTCTCGTTTTCTGCTTGAGACTCTGTTCTGCTTCCTTTTCCTTGAGCGCATCTTTGACAGTAGCAATGCCAGTATCAGCGACATAAGAAGGCAGTTGGTATTGTCGTTTTTCCATCCCACGTTTGTTTTGAAGGTAATCTCTTTTCTGAGCCCAATGAGGAGGGATGGCAACCGAGTTGCGTGTACATTTGAGATGGACGAGTAGACGAGGATCGTTGCAAGTAACATCTGTCCATTCAACCACCTCGGGTTTACGAACGAGTTGTTTGAGTTCTGCAACGGTGAGCCGTTCAAGTTTCTTCTGTTTCCGTTTGGATAGTCGAGTGGGCCGATGAGCTGCAGCGCTGGAGGATGAGTCTGAATCGTGTTCCCATTCGATCTCGTCGTCAGAGTAGATGATCTCGCCTTTGGTGTGGGAGGAGGACTGTTGTAGGGAAGAGAGCCTATCCGGTTGGTAGCGGGAGAGAACGTTGGAGAAGGCTTTGTAGACTTCTGAATCTGGATCGATGCGGATTTCTGCTGCTTGGTCGATGATGGAGGAGGAGGATGAAGACGGACGATCGTAAGATCCTTCTTTCAGGACATGGTTGCCGTTTGTTGTTGTTGTTGTTGTTGTTGTCGTCGTCGTCGTCGTCGAGGCATTGTTCCAAGTCGGGGTGGATGTGGATGATTGTGGTGCCTGCTGCTGCTGTTGTTGTTGTTGTTTCTTCTTCTGCCTTCGCTTGGCGTTCTTTGTAAGCGGCGCTTTGGAGGCGTTGGCACTGGATGTCCCTGCGAGAGCGTTTGTCGCCATCGTCGCCAATGTCGCCAATGTCGCCAATGTCGCCAATGTTTTGGGATGTCGTTATGGATAGGATGTTGTAGGAAGTGCCGATTGCAATGACTCATCCTGTCGGAATGTCTGCCGAGAAGGGTTCAGCGGTGTCTGTGGCACTTTTGCTGAGTCATGATGACAACTGTCCGAAATTTCGCACGATATCATTTTTCGCCCGACTCGACGCGGCGGCTCTTCCGACTCTCTTCTTCCACCTCTGTGATTGACTGCGGAAATCACTCCTCTCCTCTCTCTCTCTCTATTAGCACTCGTGTGAAAAAACAAACCAACCGCACCTTTACAATCACAATTCGATGGCGTTCTCAAACTGTGACGATCGAGAAAAAGATGCCGAAGATGCCGAGATGATGACAAGCTGTTCGGAAGCTCATCCGACAGCAGCAGTGCAAAATAGCAGTGTAAAATAGCAGTGTGTTGAGCGAAAGAGAGTCTCGAACTGCCCAAGAAAGAGCAAGAAAAAAAAAAAAAGAAAAAAGGAAATTTTTCGGTGCTTTGGCAGAAAGACAGAGAGGCGTTGGAAGAGACTGAACCAGAGCTGCAATTCTCATCGCGATTACTCTTCGTCTCTACTACCACCATCTCAACTTTGCCTCAGTTGCCTTCTCTGCTACCATCCAATCTCTTATACATAGGAGGATTTCAAGTTCGTCTTTACACCCAAGTCGAACCAAGTTTTCCCCCTTGTCTCACCCCATCGGCTTCCTAGTGTGCGAAGTTCTTTTACCACAAAAGAACCGGCTAGTGAACTCCAGGGTGTCAACCCCAACCCTCCCCCTTCTTCCACCGTTCTAGCAGACGGAATCCATCATCCTTCAAATCCCAACCACCCCCAACCACCCTATTGATTGCCAGGTATTGATTGCCCACCATGCCTCCGTTTGCCAAACCCGAAACCGTTCTCAAACGGTCCGAGGAACTCATCAATGTCGGTCAACATCAGGCCGCTTTGACTGCTCTCAACGAGGTTTTCACTTCTCGTCGATTCAAGCAGACTCCTCTTCAGTCTTTGGAGCCCATCATGATTCGATTCGTCGATCTTTGCGTCGATCTCAAAAAGGGCAGGATGGCCAAGGAAGGTTTGATGCAGTACAAGAATGTCTCTCAAAACACCAACGCTCAGTCGATCGAACTCGTCATCAAGCATTTCATCAAGCTTGCCGATGCCAAAGTCGTCGAGGCTCAGTCCAAGGCCGATGCCGCTGTTGGCCAAGTCGATGTTGACGATCTCGAAGAGTCCGAGACTCCCGAAAGCATGCTTCTTGGTTCCGTCTCTGCTGATCAGAATAAGGACCGTACCGATCGTGCTCTCGTCACTCCTTGGCTCAAGTTCCTTTGGGAGGCTTACCGAACCGCTCTCGACATTCTCCGCAACAATGCCCGTCTCGAGCTTCCTTACCAGCAGATCGCCAACCAGGCTCTCAAGTTTTGCTTGCAGTACGAGCGCAAGACCGAGTTCCGTCGTCTTTGCGAGGTCCTTCGTCAGCATTTGCAGAATGTCGCTCGTTACTCGCACCATGCTCATGCCATCAACCTTACCGATCAGGACACTCTTCAACGTCATCTCGACACTCGTTTTGCTCAGCTCAACGCCGCCGTTGAACTCGAGCTCTGGCAGGAAGCTTTCCGTTCCGTCGAGGATATTCACAACCTTCTTACCATGGCCAAGAAGGCTCCTCGTCCCGCTATGATGGCCAACTACTACGAGAAGCTCGCCCGTATCTTTGCCGTCTCGGACAACAACCTCTTCCACGCTGCTGCTTGGAACCGATACTATGCTCTTGCTCGTAGCATCGCCAAGCCCGATGAGGAGCACACCCGCATGGCTTCCTACGTCCTCATCAGCGCTCTTGCTGTACCTCTCATCTCTTCCAACGCACCCGGTACTGGCAACCTCAACAAGTCCAAGTCCGACTTTCTTCAGACTGATCAGGAAGGCCGTTCCCGTACCGGTCGTCTCACTTCGCTTCTCGGTCTTTCGCGAACTCCCACTCGCGCTGGTTTACTCAAGGAGGCTCTCAACCGTGACATCCTCAACAAGGCTCGTCCCGAGTTGCGTCAACTCTACAACATGCTCGAGGTCGAATTCCATCCTCTTTCCATCTGTGCCAAGATTGAGCCTATTCTTTCCTCAATCTCACAGGATCCCGAGATGGCCAAGTATGTCAAGCCTCTTCACTCGGTTGTTTTGACTCGTCTCTTCCAGCAACTTAGCCAGGTCTACGATGCTGTCAAGCTGGATAAGGTCATGCAGCTCGTTTCAGCTTTCAAGGCTCCTAACAGCTACACTCCTGCCGAGATTGAAAAGTTCTGCCTGAACGCTTGCAAGAAGGGTCACCTCAGCATTCGTATCGACCATGTTGCCAAGGCTATCACTTTCCAAGATGACATTTTCTTTACGCATGCTCATCCTGCTGCTTCCACTGGCAGCGAAGATGATAATGTTTGTCTGCAGGCTACTCCCTCGGAGCTTGTTCGCACTCAACTCAGCCGTCTTGCAACCTGCCTCGACACTACTCTCAGCACCATCGACCCTTGCATCTTGGCTGATGCCGAGGCTGCCAAGCGCCAAGTCTTTGCCCGTGCCGTTGCTGCTGCTCAAGAGGAGCACAAGGCTGCTATCGCCCGGAAAGCCATCCTTGCACGTCGCAAGGAGTTGCTCGAAGAGATGGCTACTCGCAAAGAACGTCAAGAAGCTGCTGCTCGTCTCGAACGTGCCCGAGCAGCTGCCGAAGCCGAACAGAAACGCACCGCCGAAGAAGCCAAGAAACGCGAACAGGATCGAATCAACAAGGAACTCGAAGCGGTTCGTATCGAGGAAGCCAAGAAAATGGCCAAATCCTTACAGGAACGTGGAGGTCTCAAACTCAGCGAAGAGGAACTTGCCAATATGGACACGAACAAGTTGGTTCAGATGCAGGTCGAACAGATCGAAAAGGAAAAGAAGGAGTTGGCTGAACGTTTGCGTTTGATCCACCGCAAGATGGATCATTTGGAACGTGCTTATCGTCGAGAAGAAGCTCCTTTGCTCGATGCGGATTACGAACGACAGAAGCAAGAGGATCTCAAGTACCACAAGGCTGCTCGGATCACTTTGCTCCAGACTTCAAAGCAGAAGCATGTAGCTGATTTGGAGATCAAGAAAAAGTTGACTAGGATCTTGCCCGATTACCAACAGTTGCGTTCCATCATCGAAGACAAACGAAGGGGTGAGTTTGAGGAACGAAGAAGGAAGGCGGCCGAACAGATTGAGTTGGAGAAGGAGAAACGTCGTCAACAGATGCGCGAACAGAGGAGACGCGAACGAGAGCAAGCAGAACAAGCTGAGCGTCGTCGTGCTGAGGAGGAGCAAGAAGCTGCTGCTAGAGCCGAGCAGGAAGCTCGTTTGGCTGAACAACGTCGTGTTGAAGAAGCTCAGCGTGCTCAATTGGAAGCTAAGAAACGTGCAGAGATTGAAGAGAGGATGGCCAAGTTGCAGGCTACTGCGGAGAAACAACGACAGAGGGAGGAGGAAGCTGAGGCTAAGATGCGTGCTCGTAGTGGTGCTGGTGCTGGTACTGGTACTGGTACTGGTACTGGTGCTGCTGCTGGTGCTGCTGCTAGAGAGGGTTCTCCTGCTGCTAGCAATGGTATCTACCGGCGAGGCATGTTCCGCGGTGCTGCCGCTTCTGGTGAATCTCCTGCTGGTGCTGGTGCTGGTGCTGGTGCTGCTTCTTCGGGCGTGTTCCGCCGCGCTGCCGCTGGTGCTGGAGCCTCTACTGCAGATAGTGGTGAGGGATGGAAAGAGAGTGAAACAGCCCGCAAAGCCGCCTCGACTCCTTCCGCTCCCCCTGCCACTGCCACTGCCACTGCCACTACGGACAAGGACGGATTCACGGAAGTTAAGAAATATCGTCCTCCTGGTCGTCGTTAAATCTCCCCCTCCCCCCTCCCCCATCCCGCATCCCGCATCCCGCATCCCGCATCCCGCATCCCGCATCCCGCATCCGCCCAAAACCCAAAACAACAAAAGAAGGCATTGCCGTTCAGCCTCTGCCGCTTCGAGGCTTTGGTTCGATGTATATAAATTCAAATCCGCGAGCCTTGGTTATGATTGCATCCAAGCCCGCCTGCTCCCGGACGAGAGTTGTGTGAAAAGTGTTTTTCGGTTGTGAGTGGCGAAGGATTTAACATGGAATTATACCGCTTTTATTCGGCGAGTGGCAAAAAGGCGAGAAAGAATCAAGCCGAATCTCTCTTCCTTACCACCATTGCTACTAATAATCGCAACCGCAACCGCAACCGCAACCGCAACCGCAACCGCAACAGCATGGGCAGAATCACCGACTGCAATCTTCGAAAAGAGGCCCTATCCGCCCTCCATCCTCCCGCGCTCAACGCGAGACTCGCAGATGGAGCAAGCGAGAGGGATGATGCCGATACGCTCAGCATTCGTTCTCGTCACACACTCGGCGATTTGGGTAGCCGCACCAACACCACCGCCACCACTTCCGACGAAGAAGATGACGATCCTTGGTCGGCGATTCCTCGGCGGATGCCTGCTTCGCTTTCCACCAGCATGGCTTCTGGTTCGATTGCCATGCTGACGCGCGCACAACGGAGACAGTTGCTGTGGCGCGCACTGGCACAGTTTTTGGCACTATTCGCTATATCTCTCGTCGGTCTGGCAGCAACACTATGGCTCGCTTTACCAGTCATCGCGCCAGAAGACAAACGAGCATTGAGGATGCCTCGCTCATTCGAAGAGCTCCAGGCTCTCAACTCGGTGCTGGGACACTATAGAGACTCGCACTTCTATCGCGTTCTGCTCTCTTGGGTCCTCGTTGATGTCTTTCTTCAGGCTTTTTCCATTCCGGGAAGCATGTATATGAGCATATTGGCAGGGGCTTTGTTTGGAGTCCCCTTGGCCCTCCCGCTCGTTTGTGCGAGCGTGGCGAGTGGCGCAACACTTTGCTATCTTATCAGTAGAACGCTCCGTCTCGTACTCCTGGCGCTTCCAAGTTGGCAGGCAAGAGTGGAGCATTGGAGGCACAAGATGGACCAACATCAAGATGATATCTTGTCCTACCTCATCGTCTTACGGTAAGCATCGACCTCACGCTTCTTTCTATGCCCCTTGGCCCACCTGTCGAGTATCAAGTATATAACTGACATCTATTTGCTTGCTATCAAACAACACCTTGATGTCCGTTGGGTGTCTGGTTGTCTGGTTGTCTGGGTGCCTGCCTGTGTAGAATGATGCCCCTCCCCCCGCACAACATAGTCAACATACTCTCACCACACCTCGGAATCTCAATCTCCATCTTCTGGCTTTCCACCTTCGTCGGCATCTTAACCGTCTCGCTAATTCACACAACGATAGGAGAGAAACTGGACGAAATGACATCCGCAGACGACCTCAACATCGTCTCACTGCGAAACATACTTCTGTTGCTCGGCGTATGCATAGCCGTGCTAATCCCCGTAGCTGCAAGGAAGTGTAGTAAAGCACATGCCTGGGAAAACGCAATCGAGCCGTCTCATGGTCCCCTGTATTTAGATGAACATGATGCAGATGGGCAGGAGGAGCAAGAGCAGCAAGAGCAGCAAGAGCAGCAAGATGAACAGCGAATACCGTATTCTTTGGGACATCCTTCTCTACTGGGAGCAAGGTACGTAGACGTCGAAGAAGGATCCCCGCAAGGGTTGGGTCGAGTCTAGACGGCTTCCGCAGCGAAGCATAGATACTTGACACATGATCGCGCTCACAGAGACTTTACAAAAGTACTCGCATGGCAGGCAAGGCAGAGCAGATTGTATTACAGGCCGAAAGAGGTGTGGGTGCTCGTGTGGAGAGGTTTGCGCGGTCTACGACATGGAAGCCTGTGCACCTGCGGTAGCAGCTAGACGGTTCCTTCTCCTCTCAGCCTCGGCATCCTTTTCTGCATTGATCTGTTGGACAAACTTTTCGATCTCGCCCAGTTCGAGATTCTATGTGCGGTCAGAATGGTTCGTTGTCAGTATCCAAGCCAGAAAAAAAAAATACCATTGGAAAGACTACCAACTTACCCTAACTCTGCCATGTGCCTCCATGAGTGCAATCTCGATGTTCTTGGCACCGGTCTGGACAACTTCTAGCAAACTCTTGATAGCAAGCTTGATAGTCTCGTCCTTGTTCAGGTCATCCTTGTAATTTTTCTCCAAGAACTCGCGGACAGTTTTGGAGCTCCTTCCAATTGCGTTTGCCTTCCAAGCTGAGTACATTCCCGAAGGTTCAGTCTGGTAGAGCTTAGGATTTGCGTTGTTTGCATCAAAGCCTATGATGAGAGTAGAGATTCCAAAGGGACGAACACCACCGGATTGAGTATATTTCTGCTGCATACCAGCAACGTGACGGGTAATATAGTCGACGGTAACTGCATCTTCGACAGTCAAACGATGGGACTGACATTCGAGACGAGCCTTGTCGATAAGAATACGTGCGTCTGCTGTAAGACCAGCAAAAGCGAGACAAATATGATCGTCCAACATGGCAGTCTTACGAATAGTACGAGCATCTTGAAGTTGAAGAACCGACTTCTTTTCTACACCAAGCACTACGACCTCTTTACCGCGAACACCAACTGCGCAAGTTCCCTTACGAACTGCTTCCAGCGCATATTCCACTTGGAAGCTGCCAGCAGAGCCAGAGAGAAGAGAGCCAAAAAAAAAAAAAAAAAGAAAAGAAAAAAAAAGAAAAAAAAGCATCAGTCAGCTCCTCTGGAAGCTCGTATGTAAACCACCCAGACTAGCACTTACAGATGTCCATCAGGAGAGAAGACGGTAAGTGCTACGACCGTTGCAGGACCATGTGAGATGATCGAAAGGACATCAGTACCGGGATTGAGACTAGTAGCAAGGCAATACTGTGGTGAAGGGCAAGCTCACCTCGATCGTAAGACATGGTAGCGGATGGTAGATGGAATGTGGGTCGTGAGAACAAGTGTCTGTGTAGAGAGTGGAGAGCAGAGAGTGGAGAGCAGAGAGTGGAGAGCAGAGGAGGAACGCGTCAGATGTGCGATTGCAGAAAGCGCAGCCAAATGGACGATCAGCTTACGTCAGTCTTGCTAATCTGAAAATGCGAAGTCCAATGTTAGGCTTACCCTTGCTGTCGCTCGAAGGTGGGTGGGGTGAGACAGACGGCCTCTCGGCCACTTTTTATCCGCATGCAATGCACAGCCTGTTGGCCACTTGGGCTCTCCTCCAGGTAATCACAGTTCGATCGATCGAGTCAGCATTCGGAACATCCGTCGCTATCGGCGCTGTGATCATTGCGGAATTGATCCGATGGTCGTTCTCGCACTTCCGTTGTCACTCTTCGGCGGCTTGTTCGGCGGCAAGCGTGTGTGATAAGCTTGCGAATTTCTCGAATAATAATAATTTTTTTCTTTTTTTTCTTTTTTTTCTTTTTTTTCTTTTTTTTCTTTTTTTTCTTTTTTTTTCTTTTTTCCGGTGTGATGTGTGACTTTTAGCTACGGCCATCTTCCGACAAGATCACCTTGATTCGGATCATATCCGACAGCAGTAGTCAGCAGGTCTCATGACCTGATTCGGATGAGCCGCAACACTTTTGCCACATCCATTCGATCCATCAAACCAAGCAAAAAGGCTGAGTCGAATTGGTCTGCTCACCGCCATCAACGTCTCTCGCCACTGCCATCATATCGATTGCTACCTTGTCGTTCAGAAGCTAGCTTGTAGAGCGACGAGGTGATCATGTCTGCAAGTCTCTCATCGCTTTCATCTCCACCTCGATCATGAGCACTCCTAGTAGCTCCCAGGCTGCTCAGCCTGCCAACCTCAAACTACCACCACCTACAGACTCGACTCGCTCGCCTACATCCCCACAGGGCCGAGAATCGTTCAGCGCAAGCAGTATACCCTCTCATAACTCGGACATCTACATCAACAGCTACTACTATGGAAATGTAGACATGCCAGACTTGGCCCACAGCCCCATCAACTCGCCACACCTCACTTCCAACGATGAACGCCTCATAAGGCGGCTTAGCTGGACCAGCGGCGATCATCCAACTCGATCACCATTGCATCATCTCGACTCGCATCATGGTCATCAACGTAACAGCTCTTCCGCTGATGCTGGTCTCCTTGCCGGTCCACTCGAACTGTCCCCTCAGCCTCACGTTGACTCTTTCCCCCCTCATATCTCTGCTCCACGTCGCAACTCATCGCTTCCACTCAGCAGTCTCGCTTCCGCTCATCCTATGGCTTATGGATACAGTCAAGGGTCCGACGCTACATACACATCAAATGACCATGATAGAGCCATTCTCGCCTCGCATCAAGATGGCATCAGACACCCTTCGCTTCGATACGAGGAGCCAGACGAACAGCGATTCTATCGCACTGCTTCTCCCGACCAGATCCAACAGGCAGATGCAGATCTCAAGTCTAGCGCAGATGTTTATGCTACAGCAGGCCACTTTTCAGCTTCTGGTTTCGATAGAGCTAGATCCAGTCTCAACAGATTCAGCAAGTCGCTTCGTCGCATGAGTCGTCGTGTCGTCCATCACAAAGAACACGCTCATGTTCCGCTCACAGATCAGGATGCAGAAGAGAGCGACTCTTCCGCCACAGCTCATCTAGATCAACCACACACCATCGCTTCCTTAACCATCAGCCAAGACGAGATCGCTCCTCGAACCCACGTTTTGCAACGACTTCGCGGCAAGAGTCTTGGCATTTGCGGTCCTGATAGTCTTTTTCGCAAGTCGCTTTCAGTTCTACTATCACAATGGTGGGTCGAGCCCTTCATCTTACTTGTCATTCTCGCCAACACTATCACCCTTGTCGTCCAATCTGCTCAGAGCGTCTACGAGAGACCTAGGGAAGCGCGCTACTTTGGCGACATGTCCGACTACATTCTTCTCGCCATCTTCTCTATCTACACCGTAGAGATCATTGCCCGCATCATTGTCTCGGGGCTCATCATCAATCCGCCTCCGCTTTACGCCACTCCCAAAGCCACCTCAATCTCGACAGATGAACGCGCAGATTCAGGAGAACAAGCAAAGCACTTTGTCTCTGCACTCTCAGAGCATCGCCGCCAGGCCTCTAGATCCAATACCCTCGATGCGCTTGGTAACTTTGGTGGCAATCTTAAAGACAAGGCACAAAGGGTGCTTGCCGGCCATGAAGGCTTCACAGATTCATACTCGGCACAATCGCCATCACGCGAGCCACCACCTCGAGTCGCAGCATCACCTCCAGCCCGTACACCGCACAGCAAGCAGGCTTCCTCCACTTTGGCGCCTGACGAACAAGTTTGCCATCCCCGTCGACGTCTCAACCAGAGTGAGACTAGCATCTTTCTCTCAGAGTCCTCGGCACCCTCCTTCTGGCAGAACAACAACAACAAGGCTCCGTTCGCCGAAGCATTCGAGAAGCAGCGAATTCAAGCGGTCCATCATGCTTTCCTGCGACACTCGTGGAATCGTGTCGACTTTGTCGCTGTCGTCTCTTTCTGGATAGCTTTGGCACTAGCTCTTGGTGGTCAAGAGTCGACTCCAGCGCATCACATCTACATCTTTCGTTCCCTCAGTGTACTTCGCTGTGCACGTCTTCTCACTGCAACCAGCGGTACCACGACCATTCTCCACTCGCTCAAGGCTTCTGCCTACATTCTGCTCAGCGTCACCTTTTTTACTGGCTTCGCCATGCTCCTCTTTGGCATCATCGGCATCCAGAGTTTCGAAGGCTCGTATCGCAGGAACTGCGTCTGGATTGGCCATCTGAACGGTCAGCCCGGCGTTAACATTACACTCTCTCAACTCTGTGGTGGCTATTTTAGCACATCAGGACAAAAGCTTGGTCATATTTCTCTCAACGGCGGTCCTTCCGGCTCATCTCCCAAGGGCTTCATCTGTCCACAAGGTCAAGTCTGTCAAGAGCAATCCACCAACCCGCAAAGCAACTCGCAGTCCTTTGACAACATCTTTACCTCGCTTCTTGAAGTTGTCATTGTCATCTCGTCCAACAACTGGTCCCAAACCATGTACGACATGATCGACGCCGACTATTACGCTTCCTGCCTCTACTTTATCATTGGTATCATCGTTCTCAACTTCTGGCTTGCCAACTTGTTCGTCGCCGTCATCACCAACAGTTTTGCCACCCTCACCGCACGCACTCAGCGCAGTGCTTTCGCCGATCAAAAGATCCAGGATGCCTCCACCGAGGACGAGAAGCAGCCTCTGGCCAAGGGAAGGCTCAGGAGCCTTGCGCTAGGATTCAAGCGCGTTTGGGCCTACACAAAGTATCTCTGGATTCTCGCCATCATCTTTGACATTGCCATCCAGGCCTCTCGTGCCATCTATCTCGGTCCACAAGAGCTCGAAAGGCGATCCAAGATTGAACTCTACTTTACTATGGCTTTTGACTTGGAGATTGTCATGCGATTCCTCGCATTTGTGCTCGACGGCGACTGGCGAGGCTTCTTGGCCTCCAAGCAGAATCGAGCTGATCTCTTCCTGGCGTTCATCACCAGCATCATTCAGATCCCTGGGATCAAGAACTCGCAGGTACACCCCTGGCTCACCTTTTTTCAGCTTGCCAGATTCTATCGAGTTATTGCTGCCATCCCACGCATGCGTGTGCTGCTGGTTCGCGCTTTCGGTTCGCTCAACAAGATGCTCAACATGGTCTTCTTCCTGCTTCTCATGGTTGGCCTTGCCTCGTTGATCGCGACACAGCTCTTCCGTGGCGATATTCCACAGGAAGATGACGGTCAATGGACCATCATGACCTTTAAGCATTCCTTCAACTCGTTCCTCGCCATGTATCAGATCTTCACATCCGAAGATTGGATCGAAGTGCTCTTTGGCGCTCTCTCGAACGAGGCCGAGTACAAGCAAACGGCCATCGCTGCCATCTTCCTCTCCGGCTGGTTCTTCTTTGCCAACTTTATCGTCCTCCAGATGTTTATCGCCGTCATCAACGAGAACTTCAGCGTCGCCGAACACGAGAAGCGTCAACAGCAATTGCAACAGTACCTTCGTCGAAATGAGCCGCCGCCGCCCTCCTTGACTGCACGCATCGTCAACAAGCTCAGCCCGTACCGATGGCTCAGGCAACACAATGCAGTACACACCGGTTCCGCTGCTTCCGATCCCGGTCGAAGCGATCATGACGGCAGCAGCAAAGGTCTGACCAGCAAGATTGTTGGAGGATCCAGGGTCAAGAAGCGCGCCGAGGAAGAAAAGGCGTCTCGACCGCTCTCAATGCATCACGTCATGGACACCTCGACTGCAACCGCGCATCGTACGGTCAACACATTCAAAAAGCTCTTACGACTCGATCAGCCCGACGAGGTGGTACCGCTTGACAATTTGCAGGCTCGCAGGCTGCGCACTAGCATCCATGCCGATGACATGCTGCGTCCCGGCGGTTTTGATGCTGCCTACGATGCAGATCCTTCTGATCAGGCGGCGCATCAGTTTGCCAGTGACAGAAAGTTGGCGAGGATGCGTTCTGACCTTGGCCTCCGTTCCAAAGACGGCTTCAGCGATACATCGGCCACCGCTTTCCTGCCGCGCTCCCACAGTGACCCTCGCATTCAGCAAGCTCAATTCATCGCCTCGCATCCCTCCTATGACAAGTCTTACTTCCTCTTCTCCAACCACAACAAGCTCCGCCGCTTCTGCCAGAGTCTGGTGCCGTCATCGCACGGAGAGAGACTATTCGGTCGGCCAGTCTCACCCTATCGACACAAGCTCTTTCAAATTGCGGTATTCCTTGCGATCGTAGGCTCAGTCGTCTCTGCCAGCATCGCCACGCCCGCATATCGACGTGATTACTACGCCAGGTACGGTCTCATCCGTGCATCGTGGTTCTCGATCCTCGAGATCAGTCTGTCATCCTTGTTTTTGGCCGAATTCTTCATCAAGACGATCGCCGATGGCCTCGCTTTCACTCCCAATGCATACGTGCTGAGCATCTGGAACTCGCTCGACCTCTTTGTGCTAACGACCCTGCTGGTCAACGTCGTCACCGAACTGGCTGTCATCGGTGGTGTCTCGAGGTTCACGCGAGCTCTGAAAGCCTTCCGTGCGCTTCGACTCATCAACTTGTCCTCACTCATGCGCGACACGTTCCATGCTGTCATGATTGCTGGTGCAGGCAGGATTCTGGACGCTTCGATCCTGTCGATCTTGTACATTATCCCCTACGCCGTATGGGGACAGAATCTGTTTGGCGGTCTGCTCTACTCTTGCAACGACGGGTCCAGCGCGATTCGCAACAAGTTCGACTGTGCAGGCGAGTACTCGAGCTCACCAGGCAACTTTGACTTCCTCGCTCCTCGAGTCTGGGGCAATCCCACTGAAGGCAGCGTCTACTCGTTCGACGACTTCAAGGGAGCCATGCTCATCATGTTTGAGATTATCTCACTCGAGGGCTGGATTAATGTCATGTCGACAGCCATGAGCGTCGCGGGCAAGGATCAGCAGCTCCAGAACGACAATCGCCAGGTCAATGCGCTCTTTTTCCTCATCTACAATCTTGTGGGAAGTACAACAGTCTTGACGCTCTTTGTGTCGGTCATCATCGAAAACTTCCAGACCTTCTCGGGCGCTGCTTACCAGACTGCTGGACAGAGACAGTGGATCGACTTGCGCAGGCTCATTCTTCGACAGCAACCTTCGAAACGCCCCAAGCGGCGTCCTTCTCAAGCCTTGCGAGCGTGGTGCTACGACCGCGTGCTCACCAAGAATGGATGGTGGAGTCGCGCGATGACCTTGGTATACCTAGCCACCTTGATTACTCTGATGACGCAGCAGTACGCCGATCCGGATTGGGCCAACAGGTTGAGAGATGCTCTCTACCTTGGCTACATTGCCGTATACGCGTTTGACATCTTTGCGAGACTGTTGGGTCTTGGTTGGAGGAGTTACAGGGAAAATCCTTGGAATCTCTACGACTTGTTTGTGGTGTCAGGCACGCTAGCCACCACGCTTCCCTTGCTGACCAACAACGGCAACACCGACATTGTTGTTCAGTTCCAGAAGCTGTTTCTGACCTGTGTTGCGCTCAAGCTGGTGCAGAAGAACCGTGCACTGAACCAGCTCTTCAAAACGGCCTTTGCCTCGCTACCAGCCATTCTCAGTCTTTTCCTTCTCTGGCTTACCATGTTCCTGGTTTGGGCCATCATGCTTCTCGAGGTGTTTGGTTTGACAAAGTGGGGTCCCAACGAGACTAACCAAAAGAACTTCTCGACGATGATTGGCTCCATGGTCTTCTTGAGCATGATGTCAACAGGCGAAGGATGGAACTCGTTCATGCACGACTATGCCGTCTCGCCACCTCAGTGTACGCCCTCGGCCAACTATTTGACCTCGGACTGCGGAAGCGAACCATGGGCATACGCGCTCTTCATCGGTTGGAACGTCATTTCGATGTACATCTTCCTCAACATGTTCACCGGTACCGTCGTCGAGAACTTCTCGTACATCTTTGATCTCGGAAGCAAGGCGATGCTCAGCTCGACCGATATTCGACACTTTAAGAGTAGCTGGGCCAAATTTGACCGTAACAGGAAGGGTTACATTCACAAAGATCAGATTGTTCCTTTCCTCGGCTCGCTTAAAGGCGCTCTCGAAATCAGCCTGTACCCGCCCGAGTGCAGCTTGCAGGCGCTCAAAGCTTCGTTCTCATCATCTCAAGGTGTTGCGTCGAGCCCGACAACAGAAGGCAGGACCAAAGGTGCATTTGACTTGTTCAAGGCTGCTTCGCCGCTTCGATCGCCGTTGCGTGAAGGGAAAGGAGACGATGGCAAGGGGCTGTTTGCTTGGCCTGTATCGTCGTCGGAGCCCGTGCGTACGCCGCAGACCGACGGAGAGCGTCTGGCTCTTGCTTTATCCGCAGTCGATTCCAAGGAGCTCCGCATGCGCAGAGACCGTTTCAACAGGGTCTATCACGAAGCTATCATGCTCATCCATCCACCCAAGGGCATTTCGTTCGCCGACATGCTTCTGCTCCTAGCACGCACCAAGCTCGTCGACGAGATGGAAGCGCTCAGCGTTGAAGAGCTCGTCGAAAGAAAAGATACACTGGAGCAGATCGAGCACCGCATCAGGCTCGATCGAGTGCGTGGTCTCCTGCAGATGGCTTACTGGCGAAGAAGGTTCTTGGCTCTACGAGACGAGATGCGAAAGGGAGAAGCAGTGCCCACCATCCTTGTACACGGAAGTCCAGGCAGATTATCTCGACCAGTGCTTCCCGCTTTGGAAATTCCCGGTACATCTTGGTCGACATCATCCTCGACAACTAACAAGCCAATGTTGACCATCACACCATCGCCACCCTCGTTGCATGACTTGGAGCTTCGTGCATCACCGGTGATCGAGTCGTTTGAAGCGACCGCTTGGGGCGATCTAATGAAAAGGATCGATGGTCAAGATACAAGCCCACAGCCTTACCAAGAGCATGCTCGCACTAAGAGTGATAAGGGCAAAACCCGTTCGAGGAAGGATGATCAACGCTGGTTCTGAGCTCACCTCGAACTATAGTTCTGTGCGAGGCTACTGTAGCGAATTTTAATTTTTTAATTTTTTTTTTCAATGGTCTCTTATCGGTATCCACATAGACATTGCAATGCAAATGCACCTTTCTATACTGAATGGAGAAGAGTGCACTTGGCGATGCAAGATATATGTGGATTCACAACACTGTCTGTTGTTCCTTCACTCAAACCATCCTTGACAGAAAGGCAACAATGTTTGAGGATCCTGATTCCTGCCTCAGCTCAATCATTATGTGCAGCTTCTCCAGCAAGGTGCATACAGAATACTTTGCTGAATATGGTGACTGACTGGTACCAATTGCTGTAGGAGTGTTTAACTGGGCAAGGGTTAGAAGTGTACCATACTGTACCACACACTCTGCTGCCAAAGAATACAAACTTCTCACCCCCACCTACACTTTACATTGTGATTAAGTTGGGAGTTGTGCATGAAGAGAAATCAAAGCATGTGATGAAAATGAAGTTCTGAGCATTGGTCATGATGTGCCCCTTCACTCACCATTGAGAAATGCACATGTTGCCATTTGCACAATAAGCACCACTACCACCCTTTAGAAGTGACACCTCTGTTATCTATTCAAATGACTTAGTCCATTGCCTGATTCAATGTGATGCTACACCAGGCCCCACCCTGCAAGCCCAATACCCTTGCCAACCAGTACTTAATAGTGCTCGCTGGCTTGAATGACAAACTGCAATGGGATGGACAAGAGCACACTTGGCAATGCAAGATAAGCAACAACTTTTGAGGATCCTGATACTATGCTCAGCTTGATGAATATGTGCAGCTTCAATTGAAGAATACCAAGACTATACGCTGTCCGGAGCTACTAACAAGCTCGTATCCACAGGCATATGTTCTTGAGAAAGGTCTTGTATTTCATGTTCATCAGTTACATCCTCAATGGACATATATATACCTTATTGCCATCTTTGATTGTGCCCAAATGAGATGAGCTATCTCCTATAGGGCCCCTGAGTTGCCACCTTCTGCAGTATAGCACATGATCTGTTGGTATGGCAACCCTCATGTGCTTCATTGTTTTCATTGCCTGTGCATGTTCTCAGCCCCTTGGTGTCTCAGCTAATGCTTGTGTATCCAGGTTGGAATGCCAATGCATCTTCAACTCCCCCCTTCAATGGCATCTCCAGCCCCAACAACCAAGCAAGGCAGGCTGTGTTGATGCCCTTCAAAGGCTTTGTCAGAATGTTGGCTACATTGCTTGCCATTCCAACAAATTCAATCATGACATCACCCTCCTGGACATGATCCTGGACAAAATGGTATTGGGTGTCTATGTGCTTCAACTTCCAATGCTTGGCTGGGTCCTTACTCACCTGGATGCACCCTTGGCTGTCAGTGTGGAGTAATGGCCATACATCCAAGATCTCCAAGTCTTGTAGCAAATATGAAAAGAACAATGCCTCTCACACTGCTTTGGAGGCTGTGACAAATTCTGCTTCTACTGCTGAAAGTGCTATGCATTTCTGCATGTGTGACCTCCAGCTGACTGGGCACCTTTAAACATATGTAATTGTCCCAGATGTGCTCCTTTGTCCATTTGTAGGATCCAACACCCAACTTGTGTTGGTATATGTCATCACCAGCTGCTTTGTGTGCTCATTAGGTTCACCTCCCAATTGCAACTGATATGTGCTCATTTGGTTCAGGTATTTGACCATGTGGATGGCTGCCTTCCAGGCACTGTCAATCAGGTTGGACATGTATCATGCTAGTGTCCCTATGGCAAAGGAAATATCCAGTTGCATGGTGTTAGACACCCACAACAGTTGGCCAACCAACTCTTGGTATTGCTTTGCCTGTGACAGAGTACACCTGTCACTTCCAGCAATGTCCACCATACTTTGCATGGGTATCCACAACTTCTCCTTCACTGTCCCCAGCCACTTGCTCACCATGGCCTGAATGTATGCAGTTAAATCTAATGAAAACCATTGGCATGCTTGCTCCCAGGTGATTTTGATCCCCAGAAACTCTGTAACTTCTCCATTATCTTTTGTTCCCATTTGCTCATGATCTCTCCTTTTGGTGTGATCCACTTCATGATGACTGGGTGACACAATCAGCATATCATCCACATATGCTGTGATGATGGTAATCTGATCCCCAGTTCCCCTTGAGTACAGACATGGTGCACTCAGCATGCAGTGGAATCCAATTGCCTGGAGGTGTGAGTTCAATTTGATGTTCCACTCCCAACCTGATTGCTTCAAGCCATATAGCCCTTTCACTAGTTTCAGGGCCTTCCCCAGTGGTACCTTAGTCCTGACTGGTGGCTTCAAAAACACATCATGGTGTAGTGTCAAATTCAGGTATGCTTGTTTCACATCTACAGCATCCACCTCTCAGTCACATATGGCTGCAATGGCCAAGACTCCCTAGATAGACTGGATTGGTGCCACTGGCACAAACACTTCTGTGTAGTCAACACCCTCTGGTTGTGTGAATCCTCAGGCCACCAGTCTGGCCTTGAACTTGGTTGGTATGAGATTTGCATCAGTCTTGATCTTGAGTACCCAGCATGTGTCAACCATGTTCATGCCTTTTGGGATGTCTGCCACTTCCCACATGCCCATTGCCTCTAGTCCATCTAGCTCTGTTTGCATTGCCTCCTCCCAGTGTCTTCTGTCTTCTCCAGCCAGCACTTCACAAATGGTCAGGTCCAGATTCCTCCTCTTTTTGGTGTTCATTGCCATGAATCCAAACAGTTTGTCCCCAATCCATGTTTTGGCCTTTGGATCATGTTTGCTCAGCTCAACCATGTTTTCATTTGAGATATCCTCCTCATTTGCTTCCAAAGTCAGCTCCATGTCCACATGCTTGTTTAGCAGTTCTTCCTCCCTTTCATCAAAAAGGTTCTCTTCAGTGTACCCCAGGTCACTGAAATCTTCTTCATTTGTCATCACAGGAGGTGGTTGTGTGTCTATTGGCCACCACTCTGTCTGAACTGACCAGCATTTGGACTCCATGAACTTTGCTGAGTTGCTCCAAAACACATTTGGACTATAGTCTGGGCTGTAGAACAGCCATCCTTTCCTCTCCAAACTGTAGCCTATGAATATGGATGCAACAGCTTGCTGATCCAGTTTCTTATTGTCTCGCTTGGCCTTGGGTATGTTCACCCATGCTAGGCATCTGAAAACACATATGAGGCTCATTAGCTTTTCTGGCAACTTTCCAAACATTGCTTGATATGGAAACTCTCTGTCAACACTTGGGATGAGGTTCATCTTAAAAGCCACAGCCCAGATGGCATACAGCCAAAACCTCTTTGACAGTCTCCTCTGCATGAGTAGTGTCTGCATTTTCTCACCCAGGCTCCAGTTCATTCTTTCCACATGTCCATTCTGTCAGCTGTTGTACCCTACTGTCATTTGCCACTCAATGCCTCTGTCATACATCCATTCAATAGCCTCATTGCTCCTCCATTCAGTCCCCTGATTGGACTGTATTGCCTTTAGTGTCTTTCCTGTCTGTGTCTTGAGGTAGGTTACTATCCTTTTGAGTTGAGCAAATGCATGGCTCTTTTGTAACAGTGGCTGCACACATATGTACTTGCTGTGGTCATCAACCAACACTAACATGCATGTGTGTTCTGTGGCATGCAAAGAATTGATTATCAAATCAATGTGAACAAGGTCAAGGGGTAACAAAGCCCTATGTTTGCTGCCTTGTCCCATTCAGGCTATTGTACTCTTGGACTGGATGCAATGCTCACATGTTGGTGCCATTTCTGGGTCCAACTCTACTACATGATTGCCCTTTAGTTTGTTGATGATGGCCCTTGTCTTATCTTGGCCTGGATGCCCTAGACATTCATGCCATAGTTGTTGTTTTGATGCTCCTGTATTGCTCTTGATCTGTTCAAGCTCATCACCAACACCTCCAAACAAGGACATTGTCATGATCATTGCATTTTCTTGCCATGTCTTGCCTTGGAACTCTAATAGTCCCCACTCATGATCTTTGGCTATCTTGAGTAGCATTCCATTTGCCAAGTGAATCTGTCCACCAGTGATGTCTAATGTCACTTGTGCTCCTTCATCCATTAATGAATTGGTTGATAAAAGGTTAACATTAAGATGCCTGACATACAATACATTGTGAAGAAAAACATCTCCATAACTTGTTGATATGTTTGCATCTCCTATAGCCATTGCCTCCAGAACCTTGCTTCCAGCCATGAATACATGCTTTCAACAAGTTCTTGGGCAAATGAGTATGCTATAGTCATTAACCATGTGATAGCTGGCCCCTGAGTCTAAGATCCAACAAAATGGTTCTTTTGACTTCAGAGACCTCTGCCAACTTGGTGTGAAGGAGCACCAGACCTCCTAGTCTGCTTTTGTGAGGGGTGAGTTCTTGGGAATGGTTACCAAGGCATCACACTGCCTAGTGCCATGTCCAGATCACTTGCACACCCAGCATCAAATCTTTCTGGGTCTGGCTGCTACCCTCACACTTGTGCAACCATCATCCTTCTCATCCTTCTCATCTTTCTTGTCTGCCTTGGCTGATTCATCCTGATCATCACTGCCAGTGATTCTAGCACCAGCCTGGCAGGGGTCTACCTTATAAGCAGGGTTGCTTTTGATTGCAGACTGGCATACAATCAAAGCAGTGGCAAGTGCATTAAAGTTGAGCTGACTGATAGTTGCAATGGTTTCCTTATACATGGGGTGGTGTATGGTGCACTTCTGCAGGTTTGAGAATAAGGTGTCATTGGCAAACAGCTTTCCCAGGAGACTGCTCTCTGTCTGAATAGATCGGATTTCTTGGATAAGCTTTTGAGTGTCAGAGTTGAACATCTTGATATTGCCTAGCTGAGTGATGAGTGCAAGTCAATGTGAGGTTGCAGTAGCTTCATTAGTCAGGCCATTCTCAATCTTCTTCCAGACTTGGTGGAAAGTGTGATATTCTCTGATGATGTCAAGGATCAGGTAGTT